CTGTGAGTTTTGAGGATTAATATGTATGTTGTTAAAGTTATAAATATATTTTAACAAATTTATTAATGTTTCTAGCTAAATTTTGCATATTTTTCTTTTCATTGTTTAATCATAATTAATTCGATTTTTTGGACTAAAATTAAAATTTGAGATATATCTATAAAAAGGATATGCTATTGCTGCATAATTTGTTTTGAATGCAAAATATATAATTAGTTCACATTATTTCGAAAACTGTGTGAAATATATTATGGATTGGTTTAAGGAAGATCCGGTTGAGAAGAAAAAAAAAAACATAAAATATTTCGAAATTAATATGTACAATCTATTGTTTAGATACTTTCGAAACTTGCTCTAAATGAATGCCCAATACCGTTTTTTTAGAAATTGTGAAATAAAATTTTGTTTTATATTTCAAAATCTGTGAAAATATTATAACAAAACTGGGTCTTAAATATTTGTATTTAATTTTTTTACGAAATTTCAAATTCAATCTTAAAATCCTCCATTGATAAATTTTTTAAAACTATAGTGTTTTTAATTTTGAATTAAAATGGTATTATTTTTTTTTTTTTTTGATATAGAATAGTTTATTAGGATTGGTTTAGATAAAATTTTAGTTGGATATCAAATCTTAGTTTTTCAATTCTCATTGGTTAACAACTTTTTAGAAGAAAAAAATTAAATTTTCGTCCATAATTAATAAGACAGAGAAAGTGAGTATAATTTTTTGGAAACTAATAATTACTTTAAATAATTTTATTATTTTTTATTTAAATATATTATTTTGGGATTATTATTCTATCTTTAATGAATTTATTTAAAAACTAAAACCAATGGCATTTTTGTAATACTTTACAGTTAATAAGGTTATTTATGTTTGAGTGCTTCCCAATTAATAGTATAGATATATAAGTAGCTATATATATAAAAAGTAAATTTAATTAGGAATAGAAAAAATATATTATACGAGTTGCTACACAATAAACATTAAACCTAATTCAACTTGAGAAAAAAAAATAATTGGAAACATGTGATAATTTAAATAGAAGATAAAATAGTAAAAATTTAAATAAATATATTTTTATCTGTGTGTGATTTTATATTTATAATTTTTTGTTATTTTATATATTCCATAATTATAAACTATTAATTTACAAATTTTGCATATAAGCCGGGCATAATCTAGTTTGATATAAAGGAAAATAAATAGAGATACTTGACTAATTAATATCAATTTCCGTTTCTATTAATAAGAATAGCTCAACGATTCTTTTCCTTTTAAAAAAATCAAATACTTTTTCAAGGAAAATATGTAACAGTCAACAATTTTTTTGCTAGATACATTTACTAACAAAAAAAAAAAATTGTTTGTTTATATAGTTCGATTCAAACATTTAAAAAATGGAAATTAAAAAACTGACAAAAATAATGAATGTTTTTTTTTACCTTTAACGAAATTCTTTAAATTTTCTTTTTTAATAATGACATTTAAAATAAAATTTAAGACTTTCAAAGATTTTTTTCTTTAGACTGATTTTCATTTAATAGTATTAGATTCTCAAATCGGTAGCTCATTTATAACCGTCAGATTAAATAAGAGTGACCTGTGGCGTTTCTTTCCTAACCCGTTACCGATCGTGATCTCCAGTTAAAGCTTCGACGGATCTTTTATTTACTTCCGTTTTGTAACCGTAGAATTGTATGTTCGACGTTTTGTAATACTTTTGTTTTCTTCAGGTTTAACTTTAGACTTTGTCTTTACATGCTTTAACAGTTTCATAGAAAAAGAATTAATAGGGACCCTTTAACTCCTTGGCTACAAGCCTATAACTAGCGAGTTTTGGTAATCTATCTCACATCCTAATAAGTAAATCCACCGTCCATGGTGTGGTGCATTTATTTTTATTACAAGCTCATAAAATTGTACTTTATTTGATAAAGTCTTGAAATCCGTTACTCTTTACAAGCAATATTTAAAGATAAGGTGATACAGCTAAACTGAGAAAACACAACAAAGAAGATCACAGAAAAAAAAAAAAAACAGAGATGGTTTTAAACTAAAGAAGACATAGGTATGTATGTCTTCTTTGATTTGTGTTCTTTGAAACTCTAATTTGTAACATTTTTTTTTTGCTTTGCTTTTATGGGTTTAGCTTAGATCTCTTTGTTTTGCTACCTAGCTACTCAAAGATCTGACCTTTGGTTCTCATGATTCTTGAAAAGCTAGTAAAGCTTTGTTAGGTTTTGCAAAGAAAGAGAAGGTTAGTTAAGGGTATCTTATAAAGTGTACTCCCCAAATAATAGTATAGGATTTTTCACCAAACTTTTATAAATTTTTATATTTTCATCTTCTTTAATTTAGGTAGCTTTTTGGTATAATCACAAAGTATATAATCTGTTAAATTTGAGAACTTTATGTTAAGAAAAAAAAAGATTTTGATTTTTAAAAAATAATTGTTGGAATATCAAGAAGAATCTGTGTAAAGTAAAGGAAAATAATAATAGTTTAATTTTTTACTAGATCATAACCCGTGCTAGAACAGCACGGATGAAATTTTAATTTTTAAATATTTATATAAGTTAGATTATTGTTTATTTTATAGTACACTTTTAATAATTCTTTACATAATACAATGACATATAAAGATTTTTTATTTTATTTTATTTTGTTTGATGAGAAAATATTAGGGGTAGGGTACGGTTTTTCGGTTTAGTATCGTTTTTTCGTTTTGTAGAAAGTGAAACCATATAGAAACCGTATGTAATTCAGTTTAATTAAAGTTCGATTTTTACGGTTTTTTTTACGTTTTTTGGTTAAAAATAAAACGTATGTATTTGATATATGCTAGTAGTAAGTGAAAAAAAATTGCGTATATAATAAACATATTTTGGTATATAATAAGATTAAATTCAACTCGTGCGTACCTATATTTTTATTTTAGAATCCCAATGAAAAAATTGTGTGCACAATCCATTATTCATTATTTTCATATATAGTTATAGAATCAAAATTTTAAATATTTAGAGGTGTCAAACCTTATTTAACTCATCTCATCATATAATCTTAACATGGTTTCGGTTATAAAGATCATAACTCTTTTTATCATACATTACATTTAACCTGCTGCTTGCTATAAATATTTTAAATATTTATGCTTTGAAAATGAAATTAGAGTATTTATAACTTTTATCTTTTGAATTATTAAATATTTATGATATTCTTTAAAATATTATATTAAAATATTTTTAAATTTTTCCAAATTAAAATATTTTTTATTTTTTATTGTAGAATATAAAATTAAGAATTTTTTTAAAAATAATTGTATAAAATTAAATATAAATATTCAAATAGTTATAAGGATCATAACCCATTCCATCATATAATACATTATATTTAACCCACCGTCTATTATAAATATTTTTAAATATATTTGTTTTAAGAAAACCAAATTAGTGTATGTATAATTTTTTATTTTTTTATTTATTAAGTATTGATGATATTTGTTTTTGAATATCAAGTAAAACTATTTTTAAATATTCTAAACTAAAATATTTAAAATTTTATCGTAGTATATAAAATTATATGTTTTAAAAAAATATATGAAATTGAATAGAACTACTCAAATTCTGACCCGTTATTCAGGCGGAGTTTTTGTTGAATTTATTTTTGTTTAAAAGAAATATATTATCCAAGTCTAAATTTTTGACTCGTTAAATTTTTTTTTCATAAATTGAATAATTTATATTCGTTTTTAAAAATTCAAATCATGGCATATGAGGAAAAAAATCTATTTTTATTATTATATGGATGATATGATGATTTATTTGTTTCACAATAATATAATCATATAAAGATGAGAGGTGAAATATAATGATTAATAACAAATTAATAAGATAAGTTAGATATCAAATCTTATATATTCATTTTGATTGGTCATTTAAAAATAATAATAATAATGTATTTTTCGTTTTTATAATTAAATTAAATTAATTAAATTGTATAAATTGACTTGTTTATCCTTAATGAGATGAATTAATTTACTCTTTGAAATTTTATCTCTAATGGCATTCTTAAGTAAATTCTTACAAAAGAGAAGGTTAGTTAAGGGTATCTTATAAAGTGTACTCCCCAAATAATAGTATAGGATTTTTCACCAAACTTTTATAAATTTTTATATTTTCATCTTCTTTAATTTAGGTAGCTTTTTGGTATAATCACAAAGTATATAATCTGTTAAATTTGAGAACTTTATGTTAAGAAAAAAAAAGATTTTGATTTTTAAAAAATAATTGTTGGAATATCAAGAAGAATCTGTGTAAAGTAAAGGAAAATAATAATAGTTTAATTTTTTATTTTTCACCAAACTTTTATACATTTTTATAATTTCATATTCTTTAATTTAGGTAGCTTTTTGGTATAATCACAAAGTATATAATCTGTTAAAATTTGAGAACTTTCTGTTAAGAAAAAAAAAAGATTTTGATTTTTTAAAAAATAATTGTTGGAATATCATGAAGAATCTGTGTAAAGTAAAGGAAAATAATAATAGTTTAATTTTTTATTTTTCACCAAACTTTTATAAATTTTTATAATTTCATATTCTTTAATTTAGGTAGCTTTTTGGTATAAATACAAAGTATATAATCTGTTAAATTTGAGAATTTTATGTTAAGAAAAGAAAAGAGTTTGATTTCTTAAAAATAATTGTTGGAATATCAAGAAGAATCTGTGTAAAGTAAAGGAAAATAATAATGTTTAATTTTTTATTTTTCACCAAACTTTTTAAATTTTTATATTTTCATATTCTTTAATTTAGGTAGCTTTTTGGTATAAAAACAAAATATATACTCTGTTAAATTTGAGAACTTTATGTTAAGATTTTACTCATAGTTTTTTTTTTTTGTTTTTTTTTTTTTTAAGTTTTTGCAGCGTTTATCTGAAGTAGAAGCTTTGGTATTGGGATAAATGACGTTTCGTAGCATTGTTCGTGATGTTAGAGATAGTATAGGAAGCTTTTCAAGGCGTAGTGTCGAAGTGAGAGTGTCTAATGAGACTAGTAAATCTCACGGTGCATTGGTTACTTGAGACACATGATCAAGAAGATCTTGTTGTAATCAAGAACACTCGTTGGGTTAATTTGCCAGCTGAGGTGCTACGTGATGTGATGAAAAAGTTGGATGAAAGCGAGAGCACGTGGCCTGATCGTAAACAAGTTGTTGCTTGTGCTGGTGTCTGCAAGACATGGAGATTAATGTGTAAAGATATTGTGAAAAGTCCTGAGTTCTCAGGCAAACTCACGTTTCCTGTTTCCTTAAAACAGGTTTGAGGTTTTGTTACTTGTTATTTGTTACTTACCTTAGACGTTTCTGATAACTCTTTGATTGTGCAGCCTGGGCCTAGGGACGGAACCATACAATGCTTCATCAAAAGGGACAAGTCTAATATGACTTACCACCTTTACCTTTCTCTTAGTCCTTGTAAGTTATTCGTCTTTGTCGATGTTACTAAACCTCTGCTTCAGTACATGCTGTCTGATCACTTGAACTCAAAATGTAGTGGAACACGTATGTCTTAGTTATGTTTAAATTCTATTGTTTCCAAGATTTTGACCCTTGATATGCTTAGTGGCTCATTTTACTAACCTCTGTCTAATTTGTACAGCCTTACTTGTTGAAAGTGGAAAGTTTCTTCTCTCGGCAAAGCGCACCCGAAGAGCTACATACATAGAGTACGTGATATCGATGGATGCTGATAACATTTCGCAGTCAAGCAGCAGTTACATTGGCAAAATGAGGTAAGAAGATTGTGAAAAAAAGTTAATCCTTCCACACATGATTTAGTTCTTGATTAATTCTAACAGAAGTTGTTTTACTTTGTTAGGTCTAACTTTCTAGGGACAAAATTCGTAATATACGATACAGCGCCTGCGCACAACGGTTGCCAAATAATGTCCTCACCAAGCCGGAGTCGTAGGTTCAGCTCCAAGAAAGTCTCTCCCAAAGTCCCCTCTGGAAGTTACAACATTGCCCAAGTTACATATGAACTGAACTTGCTTGGAACCCGTGGACCTCGCAAGATGCACTGCATTATGCATTCTATTCGTGCTTTAGCTCTAGGCCAACCTGAGCTTCTTCAACACTCCTTTGATGAATCTTTCGGCAGCATTGGTTCCTCAAAGATAATCGACCACTCGGGGGATTTTAGCAGCGCCCGGTTCTCTGACATTGTTGGATCGCAAGAGGAAGAAGGAAAGGAACGAACTTTGGTGCTTAAAAACAAACCGCCGAGGTGGCATGGAAAGCTGCGGTGCTGGTGCCTTCACTTCAGAGGGAGAGTGACAGTTGCTTCCGTCAAGAACTTCCAATTGATGTCCGCTGCAACGGTTCAATCTGGTCCAGATAGTGGTGCTGGAGCATTGACCACGAAGCCATCGGCATCGGCACTGGCACCGCAGCCCGGGCCATCAGACCATGATTTGATAATACTACGTACAGTTTGGGAAAGTGGACAAGGATATGTTCACTATGGACTATCGTTATCCTCTCTCTGCCTTTCAAGCCTTTGCTATTTGCTTGAGCAGCTTTGACACTAAACTGGCATGTGAATGAAAGTAGAAAGACCAATGGTCCACAACATAGCTTAAATAGGAACCATTTGGATCAGTGCCGGCTCTACCCATGTGCGGGGAGTGCTCATGCACAGGGTCCAAAAAGTTTTTGTCTTTTTTTTCAACTAAATTTATTAAAATTAGGGTCCAAATTTTTTTTTATATATATTTACATAAGAAATTAGGGCCAATTGTTTTTTTCAGCTCAGGGTTCTTAATTTTTTTGAGCCGGCCCTGGTTTGGATCTATAAGACATCGATTCTACTAGGGCTTCTTTGTTTGTTTTTTTATCTGGTCTGGTGTGCTAGTGTGAACGTGAACATTATGGTTGTAAATTGTTATCTTCGAAAAGAAAAGAAAAACAATGCTTAGCACCCTATTAGTTAATGAACTTCTAAAAATTTTCTAAGGTTATTGTATAATATATTGTCATTACGAACTTTAAAACTTTTCATAAACAAATAGTAGAAATATAGCAAAACAATACTAACTTATTCTAAAAAAGATCTTACAAGTAACAATTTTTTACCTATATGAAATTAGTGTATAAAAATAGTTCTCAAAAACATTCACCTCCCTCCATTCAAAATAAGAATATGTAGTTCTTTTATTTATAACCATGAACTACAAATTAAAGGTTTAAAAAACAAAAGGTGAAACTGAATTTACTAAAAATAGGAGAAAAAAACATTTAAACATGCTACAAATCCCTTCTCCTTGATTCTCATCACCAACTTTATTCCTAAGGTAAACTTAATTATCTCTTGAAGCCAATTTTTTCAAAGATGCCAGAGACAGAGTATTCGTTTGGAAGGTCATTACTGAGTTTGCGTCGGGACCAAGCACACTTAATGGATCAATCTGCCTTCCCCGAGCCTATGAGCATGGAGGTAGAGTTAGATTCTTTTCAAAGACAAGTTGCGGAAAAATTCATCGATCTTAATGCTTCCGCGGCTGATGATGAGATCCTATCACTTGAATGGATAGGGAAACTTCTTGATTCTTTTCTTTGTTGTCAAGAAGATTTCCGAGTTATAATATTCAACCATAAGTCTCAGCTCCTTAAACAACCAATGGACCGATTGATAGAAGACTACTTCGAAAGGAGTGTTAAAGCTCTTGATGTATGTAATGCGATCCGTGATGGCATCGAGCAAATCCGACAATGGCAAAAACTGATTGAAATTGTTATATCCGCTTTGGACTCGAGTCGAAAACAACAACTTGGAGAAGGAGAAATCCACCGTGCAAAGAAAGCTTTAATTGATTTGGCGATTGGAATGCTAGACGAGAAAGAGTCTTCAAACACATTGGCACACCGTAATCGCTCTTTCGCACGCAACAAAGACCATAATCAACACATTGGCTACATTAGGTCACTTTCTTGGAGCGTTTCCCGGTCATGGTCAGCCGCTAGGCAGTTACAAGGCATTGGAAATAACTTAGCAACGCCTCGAGCAAGCGATGTCATGGCTACTAATGGCCTAGCCCTCACTGTCTATACGATGACATCAATATTATTGTTTGTAACATGGGTTCTTGTCGCAGCAATACCTTGTCAAGACCGTGGTTTACATGTCCATTTCTATTTCCCTAGGCATTTCCAATGGGCAGTACCAGTCATGTCCTTGCACGATAAGATCATGGAGGAATCAAAGAAAAGAGACAAAAAGAAAAAGGGTTGTGGACTACTTAGAGAGATTAATCAAATCGAGAGAAGCTCGAGAATGTTAAATGATTTGATCGATTCGGACAACTTCTCATTAACAGATGAGAAGAGTTTAGAGGTGAAGGAGAGAGTGCAAGAATTGGTGAATGTGTGTGAAGCTATGAAAGATGGTTTGGATCCGTTTGATAAGAAAGTGAGAGATGTCTTCCACCAAATTGTTCGTACTCGCACTGAGGCTCTTGATTCACTTGGAAAGCTTCAAAATCAAGAATAGGACATTTTGCGACATGTTTTCATCTTTTGTGGAGTTTTGTTTTAAACACATGTAATGCAAGTAATATTGAGCTAAGAAAAGATTAATTTTTTTTCTTTTCTTTATCTTTGTACTAGTTGATGATCCTCGCTATTTTTTTTAAGATATGTTTTCAAATTTTAATTACGGGGATAAATGTATTGATTTTATTGTTACATAAGTACAATCTTTGAGTAATTTAGCTACGTAACTGTGGTTTAATTTATATTTGTATTATCAACAAAAAATTCAATATAATAATTTATATTTTGTGTTAAAAACAAAAATTTATATTTAAAATCATATATTTAATATCTTAAATCTATTTATATAAATATATAATAGGAGAATTGTCTCTCCATCTAGGGTGTCCACATCATCATCTAAATCATCCTATTTTAATTTTATGTGGGCTTCATATATTTTATTAATTAAAAAAAAAATTAAAACTATAATTAATTCACATATTTTGTAATTTATATTATTATATTTTATTAAACAAAAACAATAATTTACAAAAGAATTATCTACATATTAAAAAACGAAACAAATAAATTTATAACACAAAATCTGAAAATTTTGAATAGAAATTGGATAAATGTAAAATTAGATAATTGTATCTTAACATATAATGAGTAAATATTCCTAAATAACTAGAGATATGAAAAAAAAAACTTATCATATAATTTAGTGATAAAACAATTGTTTTTAAGAGTTACAATTATTTAGTAGAATAAAAAAAATAAGATTTAAAAATATACTACATTTAAAGGTTTTAAAGGTTAAGACTTAAATAAATTAAATTAAATAACCTAAAACTAGTTTTCGATTAATCTTTATTTAATCTTCGATTTTTCAGTTAGGCGCTAGGCGCACTTCGAACTCCCAACTAGCGCCTAGCAGAGTTTCAAATATGGGTATTTGTGAATGAAATCTTGACCCTATTGTTTTTCCTCGAAATAAGATATTGTTTTGATGTCGATTGAAAACACAAACCTAACACCAACGATGATTTGGCCGAGTAGTTAAGCCCCTTGGTTACCGAAAATGTAGAAACCTTGGAAGTCACATGTTTGAATCACTTTGGGAAGGGTCTGCTCTTCAAAGAAGAATTAAATTACATAGTTTGCGCCTCGCACTGGGGCATATACGGGCCTACTGGCTCAGAACCTCCTAGTCATCAAAAAAGAAAAAAAACACAAAATTGAAAACATTTGGTTTTGTCGAGAGACAAAGGTTTAACTGGAGGACCTTTTCCAAGAGTTTTCGATTCTAGATCTTTAAAAGAAATCCATCAGTCTTTCACCGTTTCATGAACTAAAAAGACGGCCTTGAGACGATATCACCACTAAAACCTTTAAACAAAACAATGTAATCTTTATCCAATCGTTGTGGAATTCTTCAACCGTCGGTTTAAAAAATAAAATATATTTTTTGTTTTCAACCTCTTTCCCTAGGGTTGTTAGGTACTAGAAAATAACTCATTTTTTGCATGAAAACAAAATCATTTACCTGATGTGTACTGCGGATACAACTCTAGTACACAATAAAAACAAAAAACAAAATCACCTCGACGAGGATGTATAATTGATGATCCTTCTTTAAAACCATTCTGCAAAATGACTTGAGTGAAATTTTCATAGCATCCTTTTGGAGATTGTAATATTCGTAGACGGTAGTCTCAATTACCTCAATCACTTGTACTTTGCCTTTCCATTCCCTTCCCTTAAAACCTTAATCAATAAAAATAACTATTTAACGAACTGATAGAATGTATACACAAGAGCAATGAATGTTAAATTTTTGGCATACTTTTGATTTTCGTAGGTATGTTCACTTAGTCTACAGATAATGTATACTCAATTATGATTAGAGGTTAACCGAGAAACCAATTTACTAATGTCTATATATATATATATATATTCTAAAAACCAAAAATGTGGTTTTCTTGGTTTGTAACTCCATCTTATAGGTCTATATAATACGGTTTTTTTGGTTTCTAACTCCATCTTATATAGGATTTTTAATATAGAAAATAGAATAATAGATTATTATACGGTTCATAAATTTTGAGATTTATATGTAAGTAAAGGCTTATGAAATCGCGTTGCCGAATTATTAATCCATGTTCAAGACCATCGTCAACGATTTAGCACTTTGGATCGGTATCAACTACATTGTGGCAATGTTGCTATTATATATTAAAGATAGACTATGAACATGAACTTTTAGTTGTAGAAAGAAAAGGAGTAACTTGATTATGTATTATTAAGTTTGTACTAGATATGTATTGATTGTCGTATTAACCAACTAATTTTCATATTATTCTGAATATCGACCAACTATAATTACATATGAATGATGAATATATTTCCTCGTATGAATAAAATTTGATGAAAATATATTTCCTAGAAACATATATTCAAAAAATCATTGGATGATAAAAAAACTCACATAATCTCTTAAATATTATATTATAATATAAGATATTTATTTATTGAAATTCTAAATCAAATAAAGAGTTAAACCAATCATAATAAAACACATGTATAGTCGTATAGAGAGTCTCTTAAGTTTGTGTACAAAAAAAAGAGTCTCTTAAGTAGAGACTTCCGGTTCCATTGGACAAAAAATGTAGATATCTTTAAATATTGAAACAATAAAAAAATTAAAAAAATAAATGCGTGAACTCATGAATATCTACATATCATTTTGGTGTAAAACTCATGAATAATATGACAATTGATTTTTCTTTCTTTTTTAGAAGATGCATGATAATATTTAAGACTTTTAAGATCTTTTTATAAATTCACAAAAAAATGTGACCTTTACTATTTCTTCGTCTTTAAATTTTAATTTGCGTTTAGTAATATTTTATTTTTTCTTAAGTGAAATTGTAATAATAAATAAAACCCTTTTGTAATATACTAGGATATGACCCGCGGTACACCGCGGGATAATGGTTTTTAATTAAAAAAAAAAGTAAGTTAGAACTTAAAATTTATATTATTTATACTTCATCTATCTTTATTTTGTATAGTATATAGATTTTTAAATTTGTTTCATTTTTCAGAATAATAAGAGATATTTGGAAAGTCCGTGTATTTTTGTTTGTTGATGTATATACAAATTACTTGTTTTTGTTTGGAATTTGATCAATTAGACGTTGTTATGTGAAAGTAAGAAGGTTAGAATATCTTTGTTTGTTTTATGTATATATATATATATATATATATATATATATATACTATTGTTTGTCGTACTTGCATTGTTCATGTGGAATATTTTTAAGTAGTATTTTTAATATTGTTATAATGAGCAAATAAGACATATTATAATTTTAACAACCTTCAAAATTTTAATTTTACCAACCCGCATAACTTTTATTTATAAAATATTAATTTACTATATATTTTCTTAATATTAAGTAGTAGTCAATTTTCAAATTTTCTCTAACTTTTAGGAAATTAAACCATAAAAATAATGAATTAATATGTTTGAACCAAAATTAAAAATACCATATAAGAAAATAGTATAGAAATATGAGTTGCAAAATCTAGTGGCATATTACATGAATTTAAAATATGAGTTGCAAAATCTAATAAAAATGGAATATTTGAACTAAATCTATTTTCCATATAATAAAAGAATGGAATATTTGAATTTTGTAGAATAGTCGGTTAGCATTTAATCTTTAATATCGTTTCCTTTTTTTTAGAGAAACCATATCAAAATTTTGTTGAAGATATAACCCGTGGTACCCCACGGGATAATTTTTTTTATTTATATATATAATGATATTAGATTTTTAGGAATTTTTAATTTAGTATTAAAGTTATATAATTTTTATATTAGTGTTCTAAATAAAAAAAATGGTGATTTTGATGAAATAATAAAATAAAAATTTAACCCGTGTTATATCTTTGGTTAATGATATTCTAAATTTATATTAATATCAATCTAAAGTGTCATGCGTATGGGCATTATTGTTAACCATAGTTGAATCAATAATATCAACTTAATACATATGCATTTTCAAAATCAAAGATATTTTTGCGAGAAAAAGAACAAAAATTTGGTAAAGTTCAAGAAAAACACTACAAATAGGAAAAAAAAAAAAAGAGAAAAAAAAATGCGTGCACGTACGTTTGTTATAAGGAGAAGATCATACTCTCTATAGAAAGTGATAAAAAACAACAAAATCATTTTTGATGTTTTTCAAGTATTACGGATTTGATAATACTTTTTAATAGATAAAAACAATAGTTCTTAAAATACCAAATCTATAAGACTACAACCATATAACTTGGAACTACAAATTTAAAAACTAACTCAACTCCCTGTTTTTTTGGATTTTGCCTCATAACAGTTCATAAAAATAAGTCTTTTTTGCCCAAAAAATATATAAAAAAAAGACTCTTTTCAAGAGAAATGGCCACGCCTTTAAATTTATAATCTGAATTCAGAAAATTATATTGAGAACTTTTTTAAATCTTACCATTGGTATACTCTGCATTTCCTAATCCTTGAGTGCTTTTCTTGTTTTGAAGATCATTTTTCCTTCAAAATTTGTATTTGTCCTACACTCCAATTCCTTAGGAATATCTTTTTCAAGCTTGGTCTGTTTAGACTTTTCTTGCTTAGGCTTCTCCAACTATGTTAACTTTGAACCCTACACAAACACATAATAGTGATCAGTTTAAGATTTAACAAAGAACAAATAATTCCAAACCAAAGGAAGAAAACTTAACTTAACAACACAGAGAACACATTGAAAAAATAAAAAAATATGAATAAATAAACAAAGAGAACTACGACTAAGCAAAAAAATATTAGTAACCAAGAAAGATGGTATTGTTTCGGGTATACCATGGATTATTTATAGTGCTTGAAGTCGGCTACTTTTAAGTTAGTTAGGTTAGATAAGAAAGAATGTAGAATATATCTTGGTTGTCAAGTTTAAATGATATATCTTTCAATTTGACAAATACTTAGTTCGAAATTTATTGAAGATACGGAGGATTTTATGAATGTGATTAATTTTGTATGATTGAATATATTCTTCGGTTTGTTATAGTTGTTAAGAAGATATTTTTAAGATCTCGATCTATGATATTTATTTGTTATTAGAGAAATTATATGATTCTAATCAATCACAATCTTTATAGTTGGAAACAAACAAAGATATTCTACAAAATATAAAATTTAGTTCCAAAAATGAATAAAATTAAGATATATACGATAATTAATATCGGATGTAAATGGAAATTTGCTTTTAATTTGTTCATAAGATCTCAGAATTAAAGTATTATAAATTTTTCAATAACTTTCCAAAGATATATGAAAATAAGATATTTTCGAAAATTAATATAGGATTGTTTAAGGAATATGCTTTAAGTTTGTTACTATAATTGATTATTTTTTATTGATTTTCTCATTAAACTTTATTCATTAATGATTTAAGTCGTTTTTGGTAAATCTTATCAAAGATCCGATTGAATTATTTTCGGATCAATTTAATATCATTTAAAATTGAATATTTGATGTCCATATGTTAGGATCTCAAATCTCGTAACCATAAAAATAGGAAATATTTTAAGAGTTTATTTATTGATTTGTAAATTTGTTTAAGACATATATTTTTTCCAGATTTTATTTGTAGGGACTAAATATACAATATTAAAATTGTAAAAGGATTTTTGAGGCCAAATCTTCACCAAAAATGTATATATAGATTGTTTATAGAAACTAATGTTAACTTTAAATTTTATTTTTCTGTTTAAAATTTTATATATAGAGTTATAAAAAGAAATTACTTTACCATGCATTTAATCTTACTTCTATTCTAAAACTCATTAACACATTGAAAGTTTTGAAATATGATCACTTTTAATTTTTGTTTGTGTTGAAATTTGAATTATACTATTATTACTAATATCATTTTCATAGTATTGTTTTAACTATTTTATAATTTCAATTATTTTACTTAATTCGTTTTTGTTTAATTAAAATTTTTATTAATTATAAGTAACATAGTTATGCACTAAATGAATATTTTAAATATATTTTAATGTAAAAATAATAGTTATGCTTTGGTGGATATTTAGGTAGATACCCTAGGTGGAGAGAGAATTCTCTAATTATATATAGAGTTTAAATTGAGTTTACTAATCTTTTATTTTTTCTTAAGTGGAAATGTAATAATAAATATAACTTTTTTAGAAACTAATGTGTATCATTAGTGTTAATCATAAAATTAGAATGATGATAAAATCATAAATCCCACAATTACTTGATGACATAGTTTGTCTTAATTGGATGTTTTTAACATACTTATGTGGACACTCTAAAAGAAGAAAACATTATCTCATTATATATAGAATCAATTACCGGATTGGCATTCATTCTACCAAAAATTATCATTTTAGGTTTGATTGTCCAGTCTTACAGTTTTAAGCATTTCTCAGTGCCGTCAAAAAAAAAAAAAAAAGCATTTCTCAGTTTGACGAAATGACGTTATTACCCTTACCAATAGCTGAAACAAAAAAATTCTGTCGACGACAAACAAACCGACGATGATTTGCGGTGGTGGTGGTGATGAGATCCGGTAAAGGAGATGGTGGTATTGGGATGTGATGAGAATGATGAGATACGGTGAACAAGATGGTGGTGACGATGATGAGATCCAATACCTAATTTTGTTTACATTTACAAATAGAATTGGAAGTTTTGATTCGATTGATGTTTTAGATTGGAGGTCTTGGGTTTACAAGATATTATCCCCTTAGGGTTTAGCTTCCTTAATTCAAAACGAAATTAATTGAATTCATTGAACTCATCGGATCCGAGATGGTGTTTGCAACGGAGAGGTTTTGTGTTTCGAATCAGCGATGTTGTTGACGACGGATGGAGATGGTGTTGGCGGCGGAGATGGTGAGAAGCGAGGTTTATGGCCTGAAAAGCGATAGTTGTTCAAAAGTTTGTTTGGTTGGGAAAGAAAGCCATGGTTGTCGTCGGAAGAAGAGTGAAGGAGAAGATACAAAGGGGTAAAACAGTCTTTTCGTCTAGCCCAAAAATACCTAGATTCATAAGGCTGGATAATTAGTTCCCAATCTGAAATTTCTGGCTCAACAAATGCACACATCGGTAATATTCCCTTATGTATATGATGATTACATGTTTTGACGTTAGTTAATATCATTGTATCAATTTCTACTACAACAACCATATTTGTAATTTCGTAATATCACACATGTACATGTACAACACATAGATGCCAGATCTTAACGAAAGAAGAAGTGACTTAAGTTTGCCTCCAAAATCCTGCAAAAAAATTGATGTTCTCTATAAAATTAATCAACTAGTTGATCCCAAAAATTGTTTAGAACAACAACATTAATTTTCTCTATTTTTCCCTAAGCTTAAGGAGAAAGAATAACATTTTTCGACAACGAAAAGTCGTAGTAACAGTGACTTAAAACTACTCCAAAATTCCTAATCAATTAATTTTGTTTCGGTGGCATTAATAATGAAATCAAAGATATTTATTTTCTGCAATTATTAATAAATATCTCATCAGCGGTCTCACCACATTTGGTTGATTCAAAAGTCTCCAAACCCTTTGGAATCTTCTCAAGTTTTTCTTCATCAATTCCACAAATCTTTGCTTCCACAGAGATACCCACAAATCAATTTCTCTCCTTTTCCAATTCTCGAACTCTCTCTCCAATTCACGCAGGTAAAGGAACAATCTTTCGATCATTTAGTCCATTGTTGATGAAACCCTCGATGTTGGTAGATTCAATTGTTGCATTCTACTAGGACATTGTGTTTCTTTCTTGATTTTGATTCAATTCTGTGTAATTGCTTTTGAGTTTTACAAGTAAAGCTTGATCCTTTCGTGATGGGTAATCTCATTCTCGCTCTAAACGTGAGACCTTTTGTTCCATGATGTTCTCTTGCATTTTCTCGTTTTGTATGAAACGGTTTTAGATAAGAAGAAAAAAAACCCGATTTTTCGATTTCTTTAAAATATTAATTTGATTCTTCTTTTTGGATTTTGGTATATAAAGTGCAGCTAACTTTCTGCACCTAAAGGATTGACTGGTCGTTGCTTCAAGCTTTGATTCGTCTGTGTTCAGTATTTGCCAGGAGAGCCATTAGCATCTCTATGATTGAATAGTGAAATTCTGTGAGTGTGTATAGATATTCCTTTGTGGAGTTTGATCCATATGTAGGTGGTTTGTTGCTGCAGCTGATTGTGTGGGTATTAGGCAGTGAGAGCTGTTTAGTTAACTACAAAAATAGTTAATGGCGAGTAATGTATTTGACCATCCACTTCAAGAATTAGAGGATGGGATCAGGTCTCGAAAGGATGATTCTGATGAAGATAATGGTGTAAATAGCGAGAAGGCGAGTTTATTGGAAACACCTGGTTCTGTAGGTACTACTCCTGAAGATTCTGGTTGTCGTTCTTCTGATTGGCGTAGGGGTTAGTCCTCTACTAAACCTTGTTATTGCAGTTTATAAACGATTTATCAAAGCTTTTCCACCAAAATTGCAATTTTGGAGCTCTAACTTACTTTGTCCATTTGTTAATTTCTCTGTTCTGTTCCCAGTATTTGAACGGAAAGCAATGATTGCTTTCATCTGATTCTGAAACAGAGGATAACCACTGATTCAAGATTGTATGTTCTTGAAGGACTAGACCACTGTGAAACTGCACCTGTTGGTCTCTGTGGAGATATGCTTATCGATGACAGTGAGATTCAGTACTCTCGGTCCTTGACAGAAAAAGGGTGTCCTGCAAATCATAATCTAAAATTGGATAGATTATCGGAGCGGGAAAAGGTAGGAGACTAAACCCTATGTATCCAGTTGTTTCTATGGCAATGGAGCAAGAACTTAAGAAGAACATTTTATCCACATACATTTTGTTAGTGGTTATTTTTTCCAATTGCCTCATCATGGTATTAATCTTGGATATGAGCAAGTGAAGATTCTCTTTTCGTGCTGTTAGAGTCACTAGGATATGTTTCTCGAATGCGGTACACTGAAATCATTATTATATTCTCATGATTTCTTTTTGATAATATCGTGTAATTCCAGCAAAAACTCATTGTCGAGCTAGTCAGAATACAAAATGACGGGACAGTGGAAGTTATAGATAACGGAACTCCGGTATCGGAGTTATGGGGGTTTGAGCCAACGAAAGGGCAGTCCACAGTCACATATGAAATGTCCTTTACTGAGTCCTTTAGATCCATTCCAAGGTTAAAAATTGCTATACTTGTCGTTGGAACTAGAGGTGATGTGCAGCCTTTTTTGGCCATGGCAAAACGCCTCCAGGTATATGTTTATAGCGTTTTTCATTCTTGTATGATATTGCGAACTTGAGATTAATAGAGGGAAGCATTGTGCCATTAAATATGTAATTTTTTTGTGGCTGCATATAGTATGCTGCAAATAAATAGGCTCTATCCAAGCATTGGCATGTGCCTATACAGCTATACCATGTGTTCTCGTCTTTATTAATTTAGTTTGATTTCTTCGTCTCTTCCTCATTTATGTTCTTGACACATTTCCCAATATTTTAAACCATTTAGTGAGACATTTTGAAGGGATTGGTCTTTGACATTGTGTAAGGTTAAAGTTATAAGTTGTTGTTTTTTTCGTTGCAGGAATTTGGTCATCGTGTTAGGTTGGCAACTCATGCAAATTTCCGGTCTTTTGTACGGGCTGCTGGAGTAGAGTTTTATCCCTTGGGTGGTGATCCCCGAGAGTTAGCTGCATGTAAGCCTAATATGGAAACATAGTTTAAGCTGTCAGAAATGTTTTACATGTGCTTATAAATTAAAACGAAGTTATGGGTATTTTTGAATGTAGATATGGCTAGAAATAAAGGTCTCATTCCTTCTGGGCCTTCAGAAATATCAAAACAGAGAAAACAGTTGAAGGCAATTATAGAGTCTCTTCTTCCGGCATGCATAGAGCCTGATATGGAAACTGCTACCTCTTTCAGAGCTCAAGCGATAATTGCAAATCCTCCTGCATATGGTAAGTCCTTCACCACTTCACAATTTTGTTGATTCCTCAACACCTCATTCACTAGGTTGTTTTCATTGCTCCTATGAAGATGATGATATGGTTTTGGTACTAATTGTAGGACATGTGCATGTTGCCGAAGCTCTTGGAGTGCCAATTCACATTTTTTTCACAATGCCTTGGACGTGAGTTGACTTCTTTGCTTTTTAATCTCAGGGTCGGTGCACCTGCCTTAACATGTTATATGTTGTCTTGTTTTCTTACGTCCTCTTCCTGTAGACAGGCCAACCCATGAATTTCCCCACCCTTTGGCGCGTGTTCCTCAAAGTGCTGCGTATTGGGTAATGTTATTTTTCAAGGCAACTTTAACTAGTCTTTCTTATGACTATCCACTAGGTCGATATGATTAAAAAGAATAATGAGGCTGATTCATGTACAACATTTTCTTGTCTCAGCTATCATATATAGTTGTTGATCTGATGGTATGGTGGAGCATAAGGACATATATAAATGATTTTAGGAAGAGGAAGCTAAACCTTGCACCTATCGCATATTTTAGCACATACCATGGTTCAATTTCGCACTTGCCTACTGGTTACATGTGGAGTCCCCATGTTGTGCCAAAACCAAGTGGTAAGAGCACTTTGCATTGTTTATTCCCTAGTACATTGATTCCGCTGAGGTTTACTATATGTTTCCTTGCTACCAATTTGCATTGTACCTTTATTCTGGTCTCTAAGCTTATGTTCCTCTTAAAGCAATGCAAGACCATACCGCATTGCCAATTTTTGGACGCGTAATATTTTTTTTAGTGCGAGTTCTTTCTCTTTTTGTTTGATAGATATCTGAAAGGTTTTGCTTTTGTTCGACTAATTTACAGATTGGGGTCCTTTAGTTGATGTTGTTGGCTATTGTTTCCTGAACCTTGGATCAAAGTACCAGCCTCGCGAAGAGTTTCTCCACTGGATAGAAAGAGGATCACCGCCCATATATATTGGTTTTGGAAGCATGGTAAGCGGAAGACCCTTAATAGTCAGAAAATTTGTTCCTTTCTTTGGTAATATTCAGTGATAAGGCATAGTATTGACAATGGATCTTGGTATTATTGGTTAAATTGAATTCTTAGACTTGCAGCATAAAACTTGTATCAACTTAAAGTGCATCATACAAGTTATACTGTATATGATCGATATATTTATCTCCACATATTATAGTCCTGGTCCTTCTTGTTTGTTTAACTGATCATGTGCTAGCTTCAGCTCACAGTATTGTTGCTTTGTTTTTTCTTTTCCTTTACACAACCAGCCTCTTGATGATCCAAAGAAAACAATGGACATTATATTGGAAACACTGAGAGATACAGAACAGAGAGGGATAGTTGATCGAGGTTGGGGTGGCCTTGGAAACCGTAAGCAGCTTCTGTACCTTCTGTTTTGAGGCTTGTCTACTGAACTGGTTTTCTGCTTGCTTTTACGGATTCAGGATACATTTTTACCAACTAACATTTTGCAGTTGCTACTGAAGTTCCTGAAAATGTATTCTTAGTGGAGGACTGTCCTCACGATTGGTTGTTTCCTCAGTGTTCAGCTGTGGTAAGCCCTCTTTAGAATTTCTTTATATTACTACATTCAGGTCTCCGAAGAACTATCTTCTAATTGAGGCTGCTTCTTGTGTTGTGGATATGAAGGTTCATCATGGCGGTGCTGGAACCACAGCGACTGGACTAAAAGCTGGGGTAAAGCATTTTAATTTTACATATAAGTACCTTACTGTCGTGCTCATCACCAAGGAATCTTTATCTGTTTTCTTGACCTCATGAAACCTAATGGTTCCTATTTTTGAATTCCATTTGTCTGCAGTGTCCAACAACGATCGTGCCATTCTTTGGGGATCAGTTCTTCTGGGGTGACAGGATCTATGAGAAAGGACTTGGTCCTGCGCCAATACCGATAGCTCAGCTCAGTGTTGAGAACCTCAGTAGTTCCATAAGATTCATGCTACAACCAGAGGTAAACAAACTTGATTCCCCTTTTTATATATCTTTGAAGCCCAGATAGGATGGTAGAGTAAAGAATCACAATAGAAGTTAAACCAAAACGCTCTCTTTATTACAAAAGAACCAAACAAACCCAAAACTGAAAGCTTTCTGCCGATAAACAAAGCTCAAAGCTTTTCCTTCCGTCGAAAACCCATAAAACCTTGAAAGCTTTCTCGAGCTTTGATGTGTCTCACATGTGAGATCTCATCCTTATTTATACTAAAACGTACAAGTAATACTAAAATGTTAAAAAAATGATGAAGATTCTAAATAATTTCCCAAGTCTTGTAAAACGCATAGGCATCATAGGAAACGAATCGTGTGCTTTCAGGTAAAATCACAAGTGATGGAACTAGCGAAAGTACTGGAGAACGAGGATGGTGTAGCTGCAGCAGTTGATGCATTCCACAGGCATTTGCCACCAGAGCTGCCACTGCCCGAGTCCTCGTCTGAGAAAAAGGATGAAGATGATCGACCAGACCTGTTACAGTGGTTCTTTATTCAGATTGGCAAGAAGTGTTGCCTTCCATGTGGTGGCGTGTGATATCAAATTTCCTTAGTTGTGTTTTAAGTTGCATAATCTTTGTCTCTGCAACTCAATTCATTTCATTCAATGGTCAGGAATATGATGATTAGATTTCTTTTGCACAGTTGCATAAAGTGGATTTAATAAAATTATTGTGTTGGGTTTGTTCATCTTTATAAGTTTGTGGTCCAATGAGAATGAGTTTGAGTTTTGGACTCTGGATTGTACGGCTAATATAGTAATATTGTTTTCAGGTTCATTTGATTTTTGATCAAACCTCTTTGGTAAAGCTTGTTGAATAAGTGGACTTTGATGGATCATTAATAGATATTCTTAGGCATGTTAATTAGGGCCAAATCATGCGGGCTGATCTGGCCCATCCCTGAAAAACAATGGATTCGGGTTTAAAATTATATGTCCATAAAAAATCGGATTTTTCAGGATAAGCCTATTCGGGCTAAAGAGTTTTTGGGTTTAGTCTCACCGGGCTCGAAGTAAGCTCCCGGGCTCTAATACATTAGCATTCATCAATAAAAATATATGCATCAATTAGCATATCAGCCAAGGAAAAAAAAAACTGAATGAGTTTCTAACTAACAATAAAAATCTTAATACGTTTCGTGGAAAAGAAAACACAATCACATCATTGATGCATATCTTATAATAAAGGAACGTTGACTAGTTTCTTTACAAAATTCACCAAACAGAAAAGATTTGATATATAAGAACATGCCTTATTTCATATATCATAATCTTCTCCTTCAATATTCTTTATCATAAATGAGGAAGATTTGACTTTATAACGTGTAAAACATTTTGTATAAATAAGCACATTGTATCTTTTAGATACAAATCGAAAAAGAAACAGATCAAGCAAAATGATGAATCGCAAATACTCATGCTTCTTGCTTGTCATTGCATTGTGCCTTGGGTTGAGTGCGGCGGTAGGCTTCAATGAAAAAAACTCTGTCCATATCACAAACTCTCTTGGTCCGAACAACGATCTCAAGGTTTGTTGTATGTCAGATGAAAATGACCTAGGTTGTCCTCTTTTGAGACCTGGACAATCCCGCGTTTATAGTTTTCATGATAGCATTTTAAAGACTAAGATCGATTGTAACTTGGTGAAGGGAAATACTTTCCTACATCATTCGTATTTTAGGGCATACGACGGTGGCGGTTTTATATCTCACTATGGGAAGCAGGTTTTTTGGGATGCTAGGAGAGATGGTGTTTACTTATCACATGGTAAAGATAAGCCCAAGTTTATGTATAAGTGGATATAATTAATATCTCCTTGTGTTCTTGGTTGATTTATTAAATTTATTTTCTTCTTTGTTTATATTTTTATCAATTTGTAAAGCAAAACAAACGTAAATACTTTACAACAACAAAAAGAAGAAGTAACAAACCTAGTTAAAAAACTTTAAATCAAATTGACGTTTTGACAGTATAATTGGCCGTTGAATCATGCTTAACATATTCTCATTGAAGATTCGAATCAGTTTATATTCGTCAAAAATATGAAGTACAAAAAAACCACATTAATAATAACAAGAGTAAAAAGATTACATTAGAAGTCTCTTTCTTAGGGATCTTGTCTAATCGAGAGCTTGTTAAAAAACTAGAAACATTCTATTCTCTAAATAGCTTTAAGAGTGCAACACTCTCGATCAAATCTGCTTACTGACAGTCAGAAGCAGCATTGTCTACAAGGATAAGGTATCAATAGCCTCAAATCTTTAGAATCCAACTTCTCTTCAAATCTTTTGTGAACATCTTCAAGGAACTTCAGAACATTCGCCAATGATCCTTTGCTTCGACTCTCGTCTTTCTTCGCTTCTGCGTACGAATTCCACTTGGTACCATCGACTTTAAAATAAATGTATTTGGTGATCTGCAACAAGTTTCTCTTGTGATGAGGCCAAACAGAAATCGTATCATCCACAATTACCACTCTACGTGTATCAGCCACAAGAAGATCAAGTGTCTTATTACAAGGACTTGCTTCTCTGGTTATTACTCGATTTCCAAAGTATACTTTATCCGGATCGATCAACTTCAACACATCCTGAGCGTAACAGGAATTACCCATTGTGTAAACGTGCATTGTGAATAGCTTGTTAGCTTCTAAGAGAAATTCATGAAGAAAAGGTCGTAGCTTTATGATAAATTCGTAGGGACTGTCAATGTTGCATCTCCATAGATCTTGCCTTGAATCAGCTTCTTCGAGTAGATACTTCTCGCGTTCAGAAAGATCCGAAACAAGAACCGTGTGGATTAGCGTGTGATCCAAGTCAAGGACTAGGTGAAGTTTCTTCTTCTTCTTCTTCTCATCGTTGAGACATGCGAGTTTGTTTCTTGTTTTGTCTCGCAGCGTAGTAAGACGCTTTTTAAACCTCGTAGCGTGGTTTTGTAATCTCTTGACGAAATCATCGAAGCAAGACAACGACGACCTCTTCCGTCTTTTGGATTTGGGTTGCAGAGAATGTTTTCTTACTACAAACATTATCGACAGGATATATCTGAAGTCGAACGGCAAAAAAAAACCCTAATTTGATCGGAATCGTAGAGAGGAAACAACGAGTGGCATAATTTGATATTGATGGTTTGTGTATATATAGATTATAGAGGATATGGATATAACCAAAGAAATGGAAATTGGATTAGAGTAAGGAAAAATGGAAATCGCAATAGACACGTGTGTAAGTGTGTGAAGCTGGAGGCCGATCTCTATTTGTTTCGTTGGTTTAAATAGGCCTGTGTGAAATTACATCTGGTTTTACGTTTGCAAGATTTGGGAAACTAGTGATTCTCCACAGTAGATCATTAGTTATAAACAGGGATAAAAAATTCTGAAAATTACCTAGTTTGACTCCAATCTAGAAAAAAATAAGTAGATTAACATCTAAATATTGTGGTTTATTAGAATAACATAATTTTTGTGTTAAAAGACCAAATATCCATTTTATTTTCAATTCTATTAAAATAAAATAATTAACATATAATAATTAAATTAAATAAAAAATTAAAAAATACAAAAAAAAAATTATAAGTCAACTTTGCGGTAAGATTAATATAAAAAGAAGACTTCCATGTTTTTTTTTTATTTATGAAAAATTAGTTTTCTTCCCGTTAGTAAAAGAAGACTACCATTAATGGTTTGAATATAAAGAAAAAAAAAAGTATAGTTAAAAATGATAACATTCATATTCAAGTTTAGAAACTTTTTTAAAATCATGTTAAATGCCAACCAAGAAGAAGAAAAATGTATTAAGGGGTATTCAGAAAAACATAATTAATACATGTAAAAATAGAGTAATAATCACAATAAAACCACTCATAAATTACAAAATGGAGGGAGTAATTAATTAGTTTAACTGCAACAAAACACAAATAATTAGTTTAACTGCAACAAAACACAAATAATTAGCTTAACTCTAGTAGTTAATTAATAAATTTCCGCACTTGTTGCAAATTTCAGACATAAAACAGCTTTCCTTTTTATCAGTCTTTGTTCCGTCTTTGACCTCCACCGTCAAATCCGGTGACCATCAGCTTCACCGATGACTAGAGGTGGACTTGGGATCGCTGCGATGTCATATGTGGCAATCGATTACATGCGTTACGTGTCACCAGTGTGGCATTCTCGACTTATGCCAGTTCTTTGGTCGGTTCTTGCTATCGCCGTCGTCACTCGTGTTCTGTTCTATAAACATTGGTCTAAAGAGCTACGAGCAGCTATTCCTTTTCTTGGTTCTATCGTATTCTTGCTCTGTGCTCTTCTCTTTGAAGCTCTTTGTGTTCGCTCTGTTACTGCTGTTCTTGGCTTAGATTGGCACCGGTAAAGCTTTAGATCTGTTTTTAATTAGCTTAAAGATTGATACTTTTACTTCAAATTAGTTTAAAGATTGAGTCTTTGACTTCAAATTAGCTTAAAGATTGAGTCTTTGACTTCAAATTAGAACAAAGTTTACATTTTTATGCTCGTTGGTGCTACTTGATCTGATTCTTGAACTCTTTAGTCAGGACTTGTTAACTTCAATTTTGAGTAGTACATGGTTTGATTTGGAATCTTGAAAACTGTTTCTAAGTTGATTAGAGTTAGCATATACTTAATATTCATTGAGAATCTTTGAACTAAATTACATTAATCTTTTTTTGAATGGTTATGCAATTCAATGATAAATGGTTTTATCTTTGATAGGGAAACGCCTCCACTTCCTGATACAGGCCAATGGTTCTTACTTGCACTAAACGAGAGCCTTCCCGGGACCATTGTGGAAATCTTGAGAGCTCATATTATTGGATTGCATCATTTTCTTATGCTATTTATAATGTTGGGTTTCTCGGTAGCATTCGACTCAGTGAAAGCTCCAGGTTTAGGATTAGGCGCGAGATACATATTCACGATGGGAGTGGGCCGTCTTTTAAGAGCTATAACCTTTGTATCTACTATATTACCTTCAGCTAGACCTTGGTGTGCTTCAGCTCGGTTCAACAGTGTACCTTCTCATCCTCATCGTTGGGCTCAGAAATATTATGTCCCCTATGCTAATGACCCTGCTGCTATTAGAAAGCTCCTTCATTGGGATGCAGCTTATGGTAACATCGAGTCTCGCTAGTTGCTTCAGTTACTATGGTCTTTATTGCTTACTAATTAGTCCTTTCTTATATTAACAGCTGATCCAGGAAGTTACATTGGTGACTACAGAGCTGATTGGGGTTCAATGAGCTTCCTTAGTGAGTTCTTGAGACCGAGTTACTCTGAAGGGTCTTCTTGGTTTGCTCTGCTAAAGAAAGCTGGAGGTGGTTGTAATGATCTTATGTATAGTGGTCATATGCTTGTAGCTGTCCTAACCGCTATGGCTTGGACGGTAAAACTCCATCGCTAAATGCATTAAAGAGATTTTGTTATGACCCCTTAACCATTCTGTGGTAAATTTATCAACAGGAGGCTTATGGAGGTTTCTCTTCTGCAATGATATGGTTGTTCGTGGCACATAGCGCACAGAGAGAAATACGAGAGCGCCACCATTACACGGTAGACTGCATCGTGGCGATTTACGTTGGTATCCTTCTCTGGAAAATGACGGGTTTTATCTGGTCAGAAAAAAAGAAAACGAAACAGACACAACTAGAGAAGATTCAGAACAGTCTGATTCACGCTGCAAAGGATGGGGACATGGAGACTGTAAGGAGACTTGTGGAGGAGATGGAGGTAAGCTCAAGAGTGGAGAAGCAGAGTAAAGTCATTTCAAACCGGACAATGACTGTGTTTGCGTGTGCGACAGTGATCACAACACTCAGTATAGTGATTCTGGCATTGACTTTGACAAGTGACGGCTAAAAGAGACCTTTGAGGATTTAGGCATAAGCTTAAATAGTTGTCTTTCCACGTTTTTCTACAATCTTGTTTTCTCGGTTTATTGTTTGTAAGTGTCACTAAAAATTTTGTTGTTACAATTTTTGTGCTACTTTCAATCTCAACCGATCCGGGAGCACCAAAAGCTCCAAACTAGGAAAGCCAGTGAGCGATGAGATGCGACATATGCACCTCCCAATATGGTACATGACTACATGTGGCTCATGCGAAAGGTCAATAAATAGTTGATTTGTCAGCCTTAATGATGCCGTAACCTGATATCCAGATTCGAAGAAGTTAAAACTTGATAAATACCACTACAAACTCAACATAAAATTGATGGCACACTGATATAATCCTCCAAAAAATGATACAAAAGATGCTAAAGAGCTCGATTAAAGAGCTTAAACACCAAAAATTTGTACAAAGAAACATCGTCTAAATTTAAATGTTGTTTTTACAAATTTAATAATTTAAAGTTAAGAGATTTTAAGTCCAATTTAGTGGACATGGACCAACCCGATGGAGCTTTTTAGGTTTAAGACCTCTTTTTTTTTTTTTTTTTGGTCAAGAGGTTTAAGACCTTTAAATAAAAGAATTAGAAAGAAAACGCAAAAAGAGTAGGCAATTCAATTCAAAAAAAAGCCTCTGAGCGGCCAAAAAAAATAAATAAAAAAGCTCTCTCCTCTCTCCTTACAAAACCCTAGATCTGAGGGAGAGGAGTCTCTCTGGCCGCCGCCTCTTTTCCGGTGTGCCTTTACTCCTCTTCCTCCCCTCCTTGTTTTTCTGATCTTCAGTGGTTGGTCTTGTCTTTGCAAAGAGGAAGCAGATGTGAGCAAGTCCTCCTCTCCGTCAACGGCGGTGTGGTTGTTCTTCCCATTCGATGCAGCGACGGCTCTGGTTAATTAGGCGGCAGAGAAGATTCGAGGCTGAGACCAGTTGTTAAAGGACGCAGGTGGAATCTCTTCGGATTCTTTTCACGGCTCAACCGTCTAATCAGAACTGAAGCGGCGGCGGAAGTCGATGGGAAGATAGGTGGGTTTCGTTGTTCTGTTTGGTGGTTAACGGTAGTTCCCTAGGGTTCTTAGATGGCTCTCGTGGGTTTTGGTACTTGGATGGGTGTTTGAGCCTTCATCCTCCACTTACTGCCGCGATGTTTGCTTCCACCAAACCGGATCGAGGTGGTTCTTGCTCGGAGATGTTTGAAAGCAACTAGATCTGGAGATTGGGTTAGATCTGTGGACATTTTGCTAGGTATGGGATTTGTCATCGACGAACCGGTGAGTCGGAGAACGGAGTATTATGGGAGATCTGTAGCAGAGCGGTGGCTCACCGGTGAGGGATCGGAGTCGGAAACAGAATACTTCCGGCGATGAACCTGAACCGTTGATGTTGTTGCAAAGCCGTGGATCTTGTATTCTCCAGTGTTCATGCTCGAGTTCTCTGCCACCGATGATCATCAGGATCCGAGCTTTTTCCGGTGACGACTAGGGTTTCAGTTTCTCATTTTGTACGTGTTTTCGTTTTTGTAAAGCCCAGGCTTTTTAGGGTTTTGGCCCAGTTTTAATAAAGTATAATATTAATTAAAAAAAAAAAAAAAAAAAAAAAAAACAAAACGCAAAAAGAGTTTTTAAGGTTTGACCTAACTTATTTGAATTACATCGATCATCGTTGAAACTTGAAACAATATGACGAAGATGTCTAATCTTCCAAGGGAATTATTGGAGGAGATCCTCTCTAGGGTTCCGGTGACATCTCTTAGAAGAGTTCGATTAACTTGCAAAAAGTGGAACACTTTATCCAAAGACTTGAGCTTTTCAAAGAAGCACCTTGGTCAAGTAAAGGTAGCAGCAGCTAGAGAAAGAGAGTTTTTTGTGGTCATGATGAAGAATTTGAAGGTTTATTTGTTGAGGGTCAATCTTTATAACAACGTTGAATCATGTATAAAGTGTGAAGGTCAAGTTAGCCTAGAAGGTTTGGATAATCAAATCAATTTACTTCAAATCTTTCACTGCGACGGTTTATTGTTATGGGTTATGAAAGACAACATTAAGCTCGTGGTTTGGAACCCCTATCGAGGGCAAACCCGGTTGATTGAGCCCATACATAATTACCACAAAGAGAAAATAATGTCGTATGCTCTCGGATACGAGGAGATCAGCAAATCGTTCCGCAACTACAAAATCTTGGGATTTATTGAGTTGGATTCAACCGCTCTTTTTGAGTACAAAATCTACGACTTTAACTCTGATTCATGGAGTGTTCTTGATGTCACTCTAGACTGGTATTTAAGTATATGTTATGATCATGATCTTGGCGTTTCTCTCGACGGAAATACGTACTGGTTTGCGTCAGAGTATACCCTAGAACCAACTGTGTTCTTATTGTGTTTTGATTTCACAAGAGAGACATTTGGGCCACATCTCCCTGTCCCGTTTCAGAATTCTTACAGAGAAGTTGTGAGTCTATCTAGTGTTAGAAACGAGCAACTTGCCGTGTTAATCCAGAATTGGGAAAAATTACACATGGAGATATGGATTACGAATAAGATTGAGCCCAACGCGGTATCATGGAACAGCAAGTTCTTCTTGGCAATGAATATGGGACTTCACACTAGCTTTAAGTTTCCGGTTAAATCTGCGAGTTTCTTCATCGATGAAGAGAAGAAAGTTGTTGTGTTTTTTGACAAAAACAAAAAAGGTTTAAAGAACCATACTTGCAATGTAGCTTACATCGTTGGAGTGGATGGATACTTGAAAGAAGTGGATCTTGGAGAATCTTCACACCAACATTGTTTCCCACTTGTTTGCTCTTATGTTCCAAGTCTAGTGCAACTTAATTAGTCCATTTACAATACTTACCTATTATTCGATTTCTTGTATTATCATGTTCTTTGAACAAGATTATTAGTCAATATATAAAAGTTTGTTTATCCTCTTCTCTTTTTTTTTTTTTTTTTTTTTTTTTTTAATTTGTCATATTTGACTTGGTTTCACTGCCTTGGGTTGCTTAGTATCCTTAGAGTTATGGCAAAACTCTGTCTAATTTTGTATCTACTTCCAGAGCCACGAGAAACAAGGAAATAAATTGCTTTGCAAAGTCCCTTTTTATACCTTAACAAAGGCACAATGCTTTTTTCAACTTCGATGCTAAAATTATTTAAATAAACAATCCAGAATATTAAAAAAGTAATCAACCGATTGTTTTCACTCACTTAGATGACACGATGGCGATGAGGGGTAACGTCATTTGGTCATTGCGTCCATACACTCAACACGGTGACAGCAAGGTGTCATTTTATATTTACCCATATTATTTGTAGTAACCAAACATCGTCGTTTTGTTGAGTTTATCGACTCAAATGACCAAAATGACGTCGTTTGGTTCAGTTTATGGAATCAAATGACCAAAACGATGTCATTTGATTAAGATAAAATGATATCTCATCGCCACCGTGTTGTCTAAGTGAGCGAAAACAAACGGTTGACTAATTTTGTTTAAGTCAATGTAGTTTTACGCTCAAATCCAATAGTCTGGGTAGTTTATTTGAATTATTTAGTATTGTATCATGGTTGAGGTAAGAAACACACTTTTCATTTTGTTCAGGTTGAAAATTCATCCTTTTCCCGAAAAACCATATCTTCACTGTTGAAATTAAAACCTAGGGTCGGACTAGTTTAAACGCAAAATATGAGATTACGGTTGCGAGAGTTTTTGGAGTCAGGCGATTACAATTTTAGTTATTATTAAGCGATTTGAACGACTCGTATAACGGTTGAAAACGGATGGGTTTACAAGTAATTTGTAACTGGTGGATAATGGATGAGATAGCAGTTTAACATAAAATTTACCAAAAATACATATAAAATATTATTTATATAAGAAACCACAAATGTATTATTATAATAAAAATTTAAAACTTCTAATTTTAATTAAGTAGTAGAAAGTATCTAATTCATTTTTTTTAAAAAATATATTTGGAACAATTTTTTAATATTATAATCCGATTTCGAAATTTGGTGAAGGTAAAAATTCATAAATACTATTCGAAACTCAATATAAAAGAGATTTGTATTCACCATAAATGTTAACAGAAAATTGTTAAAATTACACCAAAAATGGTAATAAGAATTTGTTAAGTGTTTTGATTTTCGAAAATATCCTATTCTTTTTAATTCTTTAAAAACAAACTTATTTTAATATTAAATTACTAAAAAACCTCATAGATAAAGTGAATAAAAAATTATTAATTGATATTCGCTTAAAATCCCGGGAGAGAAAGGAGAAAATAAGGAGAACAGAGTCGTACTTCAACCAACGGTTATAGGCTTCCAAACTCCGATGTATGTTGGACTAAGGTTGACTTGTTTTGGTTTACAGTTTTAGTGGCGATATCTTCTCATGACATTCTTTTGATTTAACGAATTGACAATGAAGAGAATTGGTGGTTTCTTCGATAGTCCTCTAGTTAATATATCTCTTGGCTTGTCAGACAAAACTGAAAATACCTATGTTATGTTTTGGTGGTCCGTATGATTTTTTTTCGTAGTTTCTCCTTTCTTCCTTTGACAATTTTTCTTTAGGCTGTCAACCACTTAATTTACAACCTTTCACATATTTGGTGGAAGGTGAAGCGGTTGGGCAAATTTTCTAATTTCTCCCCACCGAATTTAAGACCAAATATGGTCGAGATCTTATTAGCTGTTGATTTCTCTCAATCTGACTTTAGTTGAGTGTATCTCAATGTTGTTGATATCCTCGAATAACATATGGTTCCAAAACATCGAAAGAAAGGTCCATCAAGCAGGAATCAGTAAGCATACGTTTTAATTTCATAAGTTTAACAAGTTCCAAAGATGTGAAAGCCATAAGTTTTTTAGTCAGATTTGTGGATTTCATCGACATTAAGAAAATTTCTAAGATCGGAAAAGAATTGGTGAATAAGATTATGATTTATTTGGTAAAAGCTTAGCTTTAGGTATTTCCAAAATTGTTTCTCTTTTTACGGTTGTTGTCTTCAGATGTGACTATTTACTATAATCAATACAAAAATTAACACTAGGCAAAAACAAAATTAACTGAACGAAAGTTCGGTTCGGATTGGTTTGGTTAATAGTTAATTCGATTCGGTTAGTTGGCTAAAATCGTACAAAAACTAGGTTTTGTTTGATTTGGGTAACGATTTAAAGAAATTTTGTTTTCTGGTCACCCGAACTCATTTCAAAATTCTTTCACAAAAAAAAAAAAAAAAAAACTCATTTCAAAATGTTGCCGACCAATTCACTCCTTTTAATCGACCGGTTAACAGAACTCCCAAATCTCGGTTCGGAAAAACTAGTTCGGTTATATTTTTGTGTCGTCGTCTTCTGACTTTCTCCTTACAAATCGGATTTGTTATCCAAAACGGAAAATGTCACAGTTTTTTTTTTAAACTTAAAACTCTTCTGTTTCACCTAAGCTTCTTCAATGGCGATTTCTCTCTCCACCGCCTATACCTCTCCACGTTTTTCACAGGAATCGTCTCATTCCGTTTCGCCATCACGAACTCTATCTTCTATTTCCTCCGTACGCTTACCGGCTCAAATTCGCCGATTCGGAATCCGCCACGAGAGTGTTCAATCGCCGTCTTCGTCGACTACTCGCTTCGCTAAACTCACTGTGAGCTCTCCGTTCACCGATTACTTGTTTCGATTTGATGCTATAACAGTCCTGTGATTTTGACACAAATTCAATTTTGTTCATGTTTTAGTTTCTTAAGCTTAATTTCATGGCCAGTAGCAAAAATTGTGTGATTATTCATTGTTTATATCTAAAGATAGAATCAGTTATTTACATAATGTAACACTGAGATTGATTCTCAGTGAAACAAGAATATACAACATTAGAGTGTGCTTCTTGAAAATTAGTGTTAAGAAGAAAAGTGCTTGAAGATTCAAACACATTCTATGTTATCTACAGAAGAATCATTATTCGTAATTGCGAAACCAGCATTGAGAATTTGAGATTGATTTCCATTGGATCAAGGAGTAGATTGTTCTCTACTTCTCCCTGTAGACACATATCAGCTGATACTACTAACATTAAATTAACAGAATTTAGGTTGCGAATGATAAACTCGGTCTTTTGATGAAAGTCTTGACATATCTGTTAGTGGATTGTTCTGATGTTATGTTAGTTTACTTTTGGTAGAAGTATGGAAAACTCGTTTATATGTTTGTCTGAAGTGTCTAGAGCTCGAGACCAACTTTGTGATGTAATGATTTGATGCAGGTTAGAGCAAAGAAGCAAACTTTCAACTCTTTTGATGATCTCTTGCAGAATTCTGATAAACCATTACTAGTAGACTTCTATGCTACTTGGTGAGTTTATGTTCAGGTGCAATTGTTAGCTCCGATATGTCTCTGTCATTACCATTTGTTTTTTTGGTTCTCATGTGGTTACAGAGTTGTGTTTTTTGCAGGTGTGGTCCATGCCAGCTTATGGTACCTATACTCAATGAAGTGAGTGAAACTCTGAAAGATAAGATTGCAGTTGTGAAAATCGATACTGAGAAGTACCCAAGTCTTGCTAACAAATACCAGATTGAGGCTTTACCCACATTTATCTTATTCAAAGACGGCAAACTCTGGGATCGTTTCGTAAGTTTTCAATCACCCATATCTACTGGCATCGAAGGCTCAATTGGAGCTAGACTTAAAAGCTTATCTTGAAGCTAATAAGATAGAGCTGTTTCCTAACTTTCCTTGACAAGTTTTGCTTTCGGTTTCTTGCAGGAGGGTGCCTTACCAGCGAACCAACTCGTTGAACGTATTGAGAATTCTTTGCAAGTGAAGCAATAGGTTTGAGAAACCAAGAAAACTTGTCATCTATGAACAATATGTTGTGACAAAAGCCATTGATGATTGTTTGCTCGGTATAATCATCTACCTATTCATATATGCCATCTGCCATTTTTCTTATTTGAGTGACAAATTCCTCATGAAATGCGACTAACTTTTCGGGCTCAACACTGTTTCGCATTGATACAAATACCGAACTATATGTTAAAAGAGTTAATTTAACGTTTGTTTGTGCTTTAGCGATTATTACTGCTTATGTTCTTTAAAGTCTTTTGTATTGGTTTCAAATGGTATTTAACTATTTATAAAAAAATTTCTTCGAATTTGGAAATCGGGACTCGAGCTACAGTGTTGGAGTAGAGTCTCTGGAAATTAGCAAAAATGTTTTCCAGAGGATGCAATGAAGGGAGGTCTAAGATGGCAAGATTGGGGATTGGACCCATAACATGCAGCGAAAGCAATGCATTTTAGTTAACAAAATTGGCATTGATTTTGGACACAAACACGAGATAATATAGGACACGAAATGTTCAACTTTGCATATTTGTTCAAACTCAAAACTGTTCCCTCTAATTTGTTTTGGTTAACCAATAGCCGAAATCCCGGCCTAAATTTTTCAGTTATTATTTTGCAATGTTTGCGTAAAACAACATTGTAATAAACAGAGTAAAACCGGCAAATATCAAACCGGTGACATACGACGGAGATGGAGATACTCGCGGCGGAGGATATCGAAATCGGCACAGATTTATTCCCACCACTCTCTCCTCTCGCTTCCTCTCTCTACGAATCCTTCCTCTCCTCTCACTGCTCCTCCTGCTTCTCCCTTCTCCCTCCATCTCCGCCGCACTCTCTCTACTGCTCCGCCACATGCTCCCTCACCGATTCTTTCACCAATTTCCCTGAATTCCCACCGGAAATAACCCCAATTCTCCCCTCCGACATCCGTACAGCTCTCCGTCTTCTAAATTCAACCGGCGTCGACACTTCCTCATCGCCCCACCGTCTTAATGGCCTTCTCACTAATCACCATCTCCTCATGGCAGATTCTTCCTTCTCACTCGCTATCCACCACGCCGCCAGTTTCATAGCCACCGTTCTTAGATCAAACCGGAAAAACACAGAGTTGGAAGAAGCAGCTATATGCTCTGTGCTAACAAACGCCGTTGAGGTGCAAGATAGCAACGGACTCGCTCTTGGAATCGCTCTTTATGATTCAAGATTCTCTTGGATTAACCATAGCTGCTCTCCAAACTCTTGTTACCGTTTCGTCAACAACACGACGTCGTATCATGATGATCTTGCCTATCCAATAACCATTCCTCATGTCACCAACACAGAAACATTATCCAACTTAGAATTGCAGGAACATGTTGGTACTAGTTTCATGTTAAAACGGGATTTGATATGTTTTTCGATTTTTCTCGATTTGTGAGGTTTAGTTTTTGCAGGTAAGAACAGTGGGATATGGACCAAAGGTGATTGCTAGAAGTATTAAGAGGATTAAGAGTGGTGAAGAGATCACTGTATCGTATATCGACTTACTTCAACCCACGGTTTGTTCTGTGTTTAAAGTCTTGTGTTTTAGAGAAATCATCACTCTCTAGATTGTTGATCTGCCTAAAAGTTTATTCCTTTTTAATCATTTAGGGATTGAGGCAGTCAGATTTGTGGTTGAAATATCGATTTATGTGTAACTGTGGACGATGTGCAGCATCGCCTCCGGCTTATGTGGACTCGGTTTTAGAGGTATTTGTTTGGTGTAGTTGCTCATTATTAGTCTCAGTTCAAAAGCTATTGAAGTTTCAGTTTATTAATCTGTTTGCATCAATTGCCAACAATATGAGTTTCTGTCTCGACGAGTGTGTTTGATTTAGTTGTGTTCTTAAAATAGTTAACGTATATGATGCATCCATTCAGGGAGTTCTTGTGTTGAAGCCTGAAGAAACAACCGTTGATTACCATCATGGAACCACCAACAAAGATGAAGCAGTGGCAAAGATGACTGATTATATCCAAGAAGCCATAGATGATTTTTTATCGGACAATATTGATCCCAAAACATGTTTTGAGAAGATCGAGAGTGTGCTGCATCACGGCATCCAGTTCAAAGCCGACTCACAGCCTCATTGTCTGCAGTTACATGCGTGTCACTACGTTGCTCTGAATGCTTACATTACTCTGGCTACTGCTTACAGAATCCGTTCGATTGATTCTGAAACTGGCATTGTTTTTGACATGAGCAGGATAAGTGCAGCCTACTCTTTCTTCCTTGCTTGTGCTTCTCACCTACTCTTTTCTGCGGAACCTTGTCTTGCTATTTCTGCCGCAAATTTCTGGAAAAATGCTGGAGAATCATTGTTAGATCTGGCCTCGAAGTTTCCGCTGGAACGATCTGTAGAATCTGATGTCAAATGCACGAAATGTCTTATTCTTGGAACCCCCAATTCAAACAGAGATATCAAAGAAAAGTCTAGGCAGATTCTGAGTTGTGTCACAGACATCTCACAAGTCATATGGAGTTTCCTCACTCGCGGTTGCCCTTACCTGCAAAAGTTTAGGAGTCCAGTTGATTTCAGTTTGACGAGGATCAATGGCGAGAGAAAAGAATCGATTAAGGATCAAACAGTAAATGTTCTTTTACTCTCTTTTCACTGTGTACTCTATGCAGACCTTTTGGCTGATTTATGTTACGGTGAGAAGTCACATTTGGTGTCTTAATTCCGAGTGTGATCTGCCATTTGCTGAGTTGAGGAATACATTTCATTATTTCTTCTATTGAATAATTTGAGTTTTAATGTTTACATTGGTTTATAAAGTCAAGCTCTGTAGACCGCTTAGCGTATTCTAAACACTGTGATTAAGGAAATGTTCTAACGATGGGAACGCGGACCTAGAGAATGGTTAGTTTTAACTTACAATTTCGTACAATAGTGACACCCCTGGACTCATGTGTTTGAAAATTCAAATACAGCTCATATGGTATACTTTCTATATGTCTGATCATTTTCCTTTGGATTACCTTATGCCGTTTACATTAACAAAGTGACTCTAAAAGTATAAGGTGTTTAAGAATATCAGATCTAAAAAAAAGAAAAAAAAAAAAAAAAAGAAAAAAAAAAAGAATATCAGATCTTTATTTTATGTCAGAATATCACATCTTTATTTTAGGTCAGAATATCACATATTTATATAAAATCATCCATCTTTGTGGAAGAATATAATTAGAACTTGATTTTGTATATTGTAATATATTTAAAAATTAAACAAAAATTGATCAAGTTGTACCATTACGAAATTAAGTTTTTCTTAGTTGTACAATACAGAGATAACACAAAAACATAATACACGACACTTGAGCAACAAGATCCTTTAACCTCGACTACCCTCACTCTCAAACCAATCATACATGCTTGAAGATCTACTTTTTCTCCGTCTATGTTCTCCAGTTGATAGAACCCTTTTTTTGGGTTCTTCCTCTTTTTTTAACATAAGCCTTAAGAAAAACAATCTTATCACGTATATGCTCAGGTATCATCCATGTAGACATATGAGGGACATGATATATCGTCATGCAATACGCCAATGACCACTGCTCCATCCAATAATACTTCGAGCACAAATCATGCATTTCGATCGCATTACCTGGGTTTTTCTTTGTTTCCATGAGAGCGTCTAAAGCATGCACACACAGATATCTGTCAATATCAATATGCTTGCAAGTGCAAGTTTCCTTTCCAGATCAACCACATAGTTACTGCCATTAACGCCAGCCACACTGTATTCGAGAAAGTAGTTGTTTAGTTCAGTGACTGGTAAGAGCTTTGCTTCTAAACATCTTGTGTGCACTTCGTTTGCAACATAAGGCACCATTATCTGGTTTCTTGGTGTCTCTAAGGATAACTTTCTATATTTGTTAAACCATTGATTCAGTTTAGCAACAATCGCATCAATCATTAGTAATAGCGAGTAACCCCTTGCTTGTAAGAAAACACCATTAATAGATTCCACTACATTAGTGGTGTCTATGTTGTACCTTGTTCCTGGAAAAAAACATCGTGCCCATTTGTTCTGTCCAACATTTTTATCAAGATAAGCACTTGCAGCAGGATATCTTTTCATAAAAGCATCATAGAGTTTCTCGAACTCGGGCTCTGTGTAAGCCTTAGCCCATTCCATGAACTTGGTTGCAACTAAATCTCTGTTGTCGTTTTTACAGCTCAGTTTAACATTCTGAGACAAATGATATATGCAATACCCATGGTGACACAACGGGTACACCTCACTTATTGACTTGATTAGGCTTTGATTTCTATCAGAACAGAAAACCAACTCAGGACAATCTGGTACGACTGATTTCAACTTATTGAAAAACCAGGTCCAGCTTGAATCTTTTTCACCATCAACTACACCAAAAGCAATCGGATAATGGTGATGATCCGGATCTTGAGCTGTCGCAACGATTAAAACTCCACCATAAACAGTTTCCAAACTGGTTCCATCCACAATAATCACCTTTCTCATGGCTTGGAAGCCTTTAATGCAAGCACCCAACGCAAAGAATAAGTACTTAAACCTCTGTTTTTCATCCAATTCAACATATGAGACTGAACCTGGATTCATCAACTCTAACATGTACAGATAAGAATACACCGTCTTATAACTATCCTCTGGATTACCACGGAAATCATAAGCGACTTGTTTTTTTCCTCTTAATGCAGTGGAGTATGATACTTTAACACCAATTTTTGATTGAACCAAAGGGATGAGATCTTTTGGAGTTGGAGTATTTAACATACATGGAAAATCTTCACGCAAAACAGATGCAACTAAATGTGGTGTACCTTTCCTTTTGTTTCTCATTGTACTTGTAGTTGCCCAATCGCACGTATGCATCTTGTTGTAAGTTCTAACCGAGAAAATGTTTGAATTCATAATCTTCGCAGCTCTTAAAGACCACTTGCAACCTTTTTTTACCTCACAGCATTTAACCACATACAACTTCGTATCCGACTTCACTATAACAAACTCAAAACAATTCTTATGCGCACCTTTTTCAACCAAATCTGCCACTGCTTGCTTACTTTCAAATTCTTGTCTTATATTCACATTCAAACCGTCTTCCCATTCAACATTAACAACAGGTGTGACCTCAATACTCATATCATTGTTATCTACTTCTGCTCCTTCAAATCCAAGATCTTCACCACTTTCCAGCAACTCATAATGTTGAGATGGTTCGCCTTCATAAACAATCATGTTTTCCTCACTGGCTCTACCAGTTGAAATAAACTCCTCATTACTTGCACGAAATTCACTTCCTATATCTTCTCTTAGAAGTTTATCACACCCCTGATTTTCTTGATTTTCCTGAGTGTTCTCTCGCCTTTGGTCACGTTCAACATCTTTGTCGACTTCCACATGCAAAACATGGAAATGGTTTTTATTCATTTCCAAAAAACACATTACATCATCATCATCAGAAATATATGTTGGTTTCTTTGGTTTACCTGTTTCTACAACAAAGCTCAATTTCAACACAACCGTAGCTTTATCAACCATCATTTTTCTACATATTTGGTTCACCAATTCAGAATATATGACCTCCTCAATAGATGTTTTCACCAAAAGACTGTGATGAACTTCTTCTTTTGAAATCCATTGTGTATCAGCTCCCTTTCTTATATAAGATCACCCATAATCAAAATATATTATTGTGCGAAGATTATTATTCATTGTATCCTGAAAACAAATAAATCATACATATAAAGGGAAAAGGGGATTTTCATACCCGTATTATCTGCACCGTTTAGGTTGTAAATTTAGGGTATGAGATTCAAATTTTATTAAAGTTTAGGTTGTAAAATACCCTACAAAATTGTTCAGGTATGAAAATCCACGGCGCAGACAGTACGGGTATGAAAACGACATCGTTTTGATACACGTCAGCGTACACGTGTACGATGACTCAGCACCGTAACGGAGTTGACTAACACCCGTTAGACTGACTCCGATTTTTGCCCGTTGTATCAAGTATAGGTATGAGATTCAAATTTTATTGAAGTTTAGGTTGTAAAATACCCTACGAAATTGTCCAGGTATGAAAATCCACGGTGCAGATAATACGGGTATGAAAATCCCCTTTTCCCTACATATAAAAGTAGGGTTTCACTCTCCCATGATTGGTCCACTTGGCATTTTTTTTTATATTTTCTTAAATTTACCTTTAATATACTAGGACTCAAGACCCCCGCGATGTCGCGGGGGAATATATTTCAAAAATCGTTTAAAAAATATCAAACGAAAAATCATAATGAATTGTAATAATTTTGATTTTTTTAAATATCAAATTAATATATATTTTACAAAAATTTTGATAAAGAAAACCCTCACAAGCATTTATTAATTTTATGAATATTAGAAAAACATTAATTTGTAACTAAAAAACTATTCCCAAATGCAAAAAGCATCAAATAATAAACCAAAGGTTACAACGGTTTGATAAATAAACCAAAATATTCAACGTCAAATAAACCAAATGCTACTATGTTAAATAAACGGTGACAATAATTTATTTAAATATATTTTAGTAATTAAATATTTTTTACAAAATATGACAAACTTTAACCGAGAGATGTGACCGTAGATATCAAATATACCAAAAGCTGCAACGGTCCGTCAAATATACAAAATATTGCAATGGTTCATCAAATATACTAAAAATTACAATGGCTTGTAAAACAAAACCAAAAGTTGCAATGATTCGTCAAATAATCCAAATATTGCAACATTTCAATTAAATAGTTACAATCTCATTTAAATACATTTTAATAATTAAAAATTAAGAACAAAAAATAATAATTTATGAAAGGTTACCCCGACGGTAGATGATTAAATGTTATGAAGATTTATAAAATAAACTTAAAGTTGCAATTGTTCATGAAATAAACTAAATGTTGCAATGGTTCTACTAAATAAGGATAGGGTTTGCCTATTATCATCGTACAACAAATAATCGTTGTAGCATGACAAAAAATTGGAGTTACGAAAAGAAAGACAATATATAGAGTTGAAAGGTTACAGTAAAAAAAACGCAACCGTAAATATTTAAACGAAAGGTTACAATAAAAGACGCAACCGTTCAGATGTGCAAATGGTATTTATTGGAAACGACATAACCGTAAAAAAATTACCGATTAAAACGAAAATTGCGATAAAAAGACGCAACCAAAATAACCGTAAAAAAATAACCGATTTAAACGAAAGGTTGCGATAAAAAGACGCAACCGTTCAGATGTGCAAATGGTATTTATTAGATTGCTATTATATATAGATTAATCACTAATTAACTCCCTTTAAAACTCATGTGTAACTCCACATTTAAATTCATTTGTAACTCCTCCACTAAAATGCATTAACTATTTGAAAATGATATTGACTATAATTTAAACTCTATATTTAAACTCAATAGTAACTTCTACCAATAAATAATAATTTGTAACTCATACTCAATAATTATAAGAGTTTCACCACTTCTCATCTATAAATATCAATTCTCTTATCATTCTCCACCATATTTTCAAATCTGTAAATTTACTTTATTTTATGTTCTTGCATGAGTTAAAAACAATTGTGTCATGGTGATAGTGAAGGTTTGATTGTAATATTTATTTTTAAAGATTACATGATATGTAGTTTACATTGTATTCAATTTGTATGTCGTTTATTTTATTTTTAGAGATTATATGGTATATATGTAGTTTATATTGTATTCCATTTTATTTTGTTTTCACCGCATTACAAGAATATATTTCTTTCATTTTTAGTTTTCAAAATTCTTGCTATAATATTTATCTGTTTCCCGATTTATCTATGGAAGTTCAAAAGCTAACTATTCTAATATTCACACAAGTCAATCAAATTGAAATGATATATCTTCGTTTTTTACTATTGATGTATGATTATTCTCTTTATCTATTTATTCAAACAAAAACATTATTCGATGTTTTAGCATTTTGAAATTAAATTTTTAATGCATTTCTCAAATATATGTTCTAACATGTAGTGATATGAATATCATTGTAGTATTTTTCCAAGGTTTGTGGTCAAAATTATTTTTTTCCAACAAAATTAATTTAATAAAAACAGTTAGATAATCAATAGCAAATGTTTAAATATCATGTTGGTAAAAAGATGTGAGAAAAAGTATTTTTAATGAAAAATGTATGCTATTCATGTTAGAAGAAAAACTGTTTTTCCTTTGCATCAAGCACACAAAAATTATGATTGTATATAAATAAGTTGAATTTTCTTAAAATTGAAGATATTAGAACTTAGACTTAATAAAAAAATGTAAGTAGGTGTTAGATATATCTAGAAACTATACTATTCTTGATATATGTTTTTTTAATTACAATATACAAATAATTTATAAAATATTTCGAGTCGTACCACTTAATTGATTAATTCTTACAATACTAAAAAATAAGTGGTGTTAAAAAATTATGCATTGTAAATTTGTAATCATAGAAGAATATGTGTGATAATATTAAAAGCATAATTTTCTTTTAGTTTTCATTTCAAATTTTAAATTCATGTTTACATTAAAATTGTAACAAGTCACGCGTAGCGTGGCTACATTCATCTAGTATTAACATTAGAATAGCCAGTTGTACCAAATAGTACCAAGTTACCCATAATAAATAATAATTGATATTACAAGTTGTACCAAATAGTACCAAGCGTTTTACACAAAATCAATAATAATTGGTATTACAAGTTGTACCAAGCACCTGTCTACGTAATACCAAGTTGTACCGTATCAGTAATACCAGGTTTTAGCAGTTGTTTCCATTTCAGTAATACCAAGTTATCCTACATCAATGTCCTGACCACTACTAATTTCATACTATTTTTCTACGATTCAGTTGATTCAAGTGTTACAATGGACAAATTATCAACCTTATTCGACCCAGATCGACTACAATACCAAATGTGAATGAATTTAATGAGCAAGGAAAATTTAAAATCTGCAATATCTCTAATTCAATTTTTGATGAATTAAACAACAACAACACAATAATATCTTCTTCTAACACCATAAACGAGTCTCAAACTTGTTAAATTTAATAATGAAAAGAAATTAGACAACAAATTACCTCAATTTTGGAGCTTCAACGGTGGAGAAGAGATTTTTGATCTTCATTGATGGAAGCTCGGATTGGAGGAGAGAGGAGGGAGATGGTGGATCCGTTTGTGGGGTCCACAGGTGAGATTTAATTATTTAAATTCTTTTCAATTTAACAAATAAAATAATAAAGGGTAGAATTGTGCAAGAAAGGTTGACTCATAGTCAAAAGGTATGTGAGGGCTGTGTGGAAATGTTTTCAAAAGATAAGGGTATATTAGAATCTTATCCTCCAAGTTTACTTTTACTCTATTTGGGGAAAATGTTTCAAACATATTCCAGATCTGGCTTCACAAGTGTTACAATTCTCAAGATGTTTAGTCTATAAGGAGATCCTCTCTTGTATCCACCAGGTCTCGATGGCTTTCTTGTTATATGATGATTCTCTTCTCCCAAGTTCTACTCTTTCCCTTATGGTGGCTCTTGATTTGCCTCCCCTGCTCCCCTTTCGTCTTTTACTCGGTTGACTATATGCATATTTATCTTTCAACCTCTCGTATTCCCTTATCTACCCTGCTTAATTTACTTCCTTTCTCATCTTCTCTCCTTTAACACAAGATTTTTGTTTTCTATTTCAACTTTTAGCTGTGAGCTAAGACATTCTTGGAGCTCAAGTTCTAGCTGACTCTCCCCCTGTGTGCATCATGTCTGGTATACCCAAGATCGAATCTTGTCTCTCTGGCAAGGAGTTGGAAGAAGCAGACGACATAGTCATACTCCCCGAAGAAGACAATTCATCTATAATCGCCAGATACAAACATAGTCTTGTGGGCAGGATGTTTCATCAAGGTGGAAGAAGCATACACGCTATGCTGGCTCCTTTACCAAAACAAAACATCAGGAATGTGGAAGAGAGAGTTTGTGGTATTTCCCTTGGTAAAGACCTTGTCATTTCAATCACTGGTCTTTCTCCCTCAAGAGATGGGAGCAAAATGTCAGCGATACTTACCCCACACTACAAGAAAACAGTCGCTTTGCGACGGAAATTTGCGAGGGAAGCCATCCCTCGCAAAATTGCGAGGGCATTGCAAGTAATTTGCTACGAGAAGGACGCGGGTCGCAATACCGTCGCAAATTTTGCGAGGGAAAGTTTCCTCGCAAATTTGCGAGGGACTTACGAGTAATTTGCGGGAAATATTTATTCCGTCGCAAATCACCCGCACATACCTTGCAAATCTTTACCCTAAACCCTAAAATACGTAAAACTGTTTTGCGATCTTTGATTTTCATTTATAAATGTGAATCTAAGAGACCATATAATCAGACAAGTTGAATATATGGTGATGCATAAAAAAATATTGGATAGGTTTCAATATCAACATTTTCTTTTGAAAATGTTATAAACATTGATTCATATTATAGAAAAACATAAGATGATCATTGATGTATGTGAAGAAAATGCACTCGAAGTATATGATGAGACAGTAGATTCTAATGTAGATAATTAACTTCCTAATGATTCAAAACAATGAATCTTAATGATTTTTAGTAATGTTTTGTTGTTTTTTTTCAAATTGATCTCTATTTTGCGAGGGTTTTGCGAGAGTTTTGCGAGGGATACTAGTAATTCCCTCGCAAAACTAAACCCTAAATAAAGAATTTGCGAGGGATTTGCAAGGCGTTCGTAGCACTTCCCTCGCAAATCTTTACCCTAAACCCTAAATCATAAGCTCTAAACTTTAAAATTCTTTATCTTAGAAAATAAATCATAAACCATAAAACCAAAAAAAAAACCATTATATATATACATAAATCTAATATTTAAAACAATATACATATATTACTTTACATAAAATCAACCTTTTAAAAATGCTATTTACTTATAAATTCAAATCTCTAAACCAAAAAATCAATACTCATACATTCCTTAAATCAATACTCAAATATTCAAAACTAAAATCCCAATTCCATATTCCTTAAACTTAAATTCCAAACCTTATATTCTAAATCTTAAATTTAATACTCATACATTATTAAAATTAAATCAAAAACTACTAAACCAAATAAAAAATAAAATAAACCAAAGCTTCTTATTGGCTAGTCTATAGAGACAAGGATTGAGCTTTGGCTTATTCTCTGCCGTTGATGGATTAAATCCAACGGATGAAATTGTTTCCTTCTTTTCTTTTTAATTTTATTTATTTTTCTCCTTTATCTTCTCTTCTCTTTTTTTTTCACGACAACTAACAACCACTTCTTTTCATCTTCTCCATGGTCGTACGTCAATGTCAGTCAAGGAAAAATCACACGGTGGTGGAGCCAATCACACGGTTCTGGGAATAGCAAGTGCAGATCTGATTTTGCCAAAGCCATCGTTCATCTCTAACGCTCCCGTATTTTGAATGAGGAGATGACGGTGGAGCCAAATCGAAGGTGGAGAGAGAGGTGTGGGAGAGAGATCTGAAGGCAAAGAAGGGAGGAGACGACGACGGAGACGATGGCTGAGCCGAATCGAAGGTGGAGAGAGATCTAAAGGCAAAGAAGGGAGAGATGGAGGAGATGAAGCAGATCTTCGTCGGATGTGGAGAGTTTCCATGATATGTTTGGTAAAGACAAGTTGTGGATTCGGATCGCCGGAAGAAAGAGAGACGGCGGTGGCGGCAACGGCGGAGATTGATTGTAATCGGCGGTAGCACGGAGCCAAGAAAGAAGACGAAGAAAGAATTAAAGAAAGAGAGATCTATTTTGATATATTAATTACCTAATTGTTAAATTTATGAAATTGTTATTATTTTTTATATTGTTATTATTTTGGGAATTTTTAGTTAAGTTTCATTAAATTTGATTATTTGATCTAAACTCTTTTTTTTTTTGAATATTATTATTTCACATCAATTATATTTTTTGTTTTAATAAATTATAAATACATTATATTATTTTCTTAAATAATTTTAATTTTGTTTTTTTTTATAAATTTATTATGTTATCTCGCAAATCCGTAGCAATAATTGCGAGGGATTTACAAGATAAATTTTGCGAGGGATATGTTACAGAAAATTTTCCTAGCAAAATTTGCGAGGGACTTACAACGTTTACCGATTTGCGAGACGCGAATTGCGAGGAACTGACGTTCATCGCAAATCCCTTGCGATTGTCGATTTGCGAGGGATTAGCTAGAAATTCTTCCCTCGCAAAACGCGTGTTTTCTTGTAGTGCCAATACAATAACCTTGTGGATAAAACCCGTTGGAATCCCATCTATGTACTAGTTGGAGAACACTTTGAAAGCTTTTGGCGACTCATTGGGTAAGTATCAGGCTGTGGATGCCCCATTTGCTCGAATTCAGGTTACTATCAGAGCCGAGGAACCCCTAAGATTCCGAAAACAAACTCAGATCCCTTCTGGAGATGTTATTTGGGTCTTGCTCAAGTATGAAAAGTTGTATAGGTGGTGTAAGCTCTGCCACCGCCTGTGCCATGAAAAGCACTCTTGTTTTCTTTGTGTGGCTTGCCCCCAGAAGATTGCTCTGTTGGCCTTTCTTCTAGAAGGAGTGCAGATGGTGGCCTTAATGAGATTGGAGAGAGCAGAGACCCTCCTGTTGTGCCAGTACCTGTGCCCAGCAGTAGCAGAGCCCAACCTTCGTGGTGGAGGCCTGATTTGGTGCAGTCACCTGCCAATGATGGTACTAACCTCTCAGCCTTTCGCCTGAAAATAAGTAGAGGGAAAGAGAGTTAAGAATCAGGATATTAGAGTTTACTCAGAAGAATAACTTTCTCATTAATCTGAATGTTAGGCTGTACAATTGCTTATATACTACAGCTAAAGATCTATACAAAATATCTTAACGTCTCTGTTAGTAGCTCTGTTTAACAACTAACAGTGTTATTGAACTCTGATAATAAACATCTCATTTTCTTGTTACTCAAGGTTCTTCATATAGTGTGATATCCCCCCTTAAGCTGGCACGAAAATATTTGAAATGCCCATCTTACTCAAATTAGCTCTGAACATGCCAGGATATAACGCCTTAGTCAGTATATCTGCAACCTGGCATTCGGATCTCACATGAATGAGCTTAACAGTTCCTTCTGTAACTCTGTCTCTTACCGTATGCATATCTCTTTCAATATGCTTTGTTCTTTCATGGAAAACCGGATTGTTCCCAATATGAATGGCTGCCTGATTGTCACAGTATAAAACTGTGGGTGTCTTTGGTGTAATGTGTAGGTCCTCCAGTAAGCTCCTTACCCAAACAATCTCACAAACGGCTAAAGCCATAGCCATGTACTCAGACTCTGCAGAAGAGCGAGATACAATGTCTTGTTTGCTTGACTTCCATGAGATGAGACTTTTACCAAGAAACACACAATATCCGGAGACAGACCTTCTTGAATCAGGACATCCACTAAGATCCGCATCAGCAAAAACTTGTAATTCCATATCAGGATCAGAACTGTAGAAAAGACCTTGACCAACGGTACCTTTGATGTAGTGTAGTAATTTGACAACTACTTTATAGTGATCTTCACGAGGAGCATTAGTGTATTGTGCCAATTTATGAACTACAAAGCAAATGTCTGGTCTCGTAATTGTCAAGTAGATCAGTTTCCCAATAAGACTTCTGTATCCTTCTGGATTTTCTAGCAATTCTCCATCAGCTTCAGAAAGTTTTTGATTAGGTTCCATAGGTATAGAAGAGGGTTTGCAACCAAGTAGACCTGCTGAATCAAGCAAGTCAAGAGCATATTTCCGCTGACAAATATTAATACCTTCAGCAGACCTAGCAATTTCCAAGTCAAGGAAGTATTTGACTGGACCTAAGTCCCTCATTTTGAAATGACCCTTCAATTGTCATTTAAGTTCCTCTGCAGCTTCATCACTGTTACTAGAGATAATGATATCATCTACATATACCAGAACAAACAGTAAAACTGATTCTCTGAACTTAGTAAACAGTGTGTAGTCTGAGTGATTAGTCTGAAAACCAAGACCCTTTAACGTCTCTGTAAAACTTGAGATACCGCTGGCGTGATGCCTATTTCAACCCGTACAAGGATTTGTTGAGTTTGCAAACTGCATTAGCAGGCAATGCTCCATTCTTTGAAGTGTATCCAGGAGGCAACTGCATATATATCTCCTCTGCAAGATCTCCATTGAGAAATGCGTTAGAAACATCTAACTGAGATAAAGACCAACCGAGTTTTGCAGCAAGACCCAATAGCGTTTTCACTGAAGTCAACTTAGCCACGGGTGAGTAGGTGTCAACATAGTCTAAACCCGACTTTTGTGTGTACCCTTTTGCCACCAAACGAGCCTTATATCTCTCCAGAGAGCCATCAGAGTTGTATTTAACTTTATAAACCCACGTACAACCAATGATATGTTTATCTGCAGGAAGAGAGCAAATAGACCATGTATTAGTGTCTTCCAATGCTGTTATCTCTTCACCCATTGCATTTGTCCAAACAAGGTGCTTCTTGGCTTCATAGTAAGTAGAAGGTTCAAACTCTCTTGTAATAGCAGTCAGAAAGAAATGATAAGGACCTGATAACTTGTCATATGATAGGTAGTTGCACAAAGGATACTTAATTTCACTACTCGGGTAGTAACAATGGTAATCCTGAAGATAAGCAGGAGTCTTTGATTTCCGAGTAGTATCAAGTACTGAATGTGAGGCATCAACTTTACCCCGAGATATATCAACATTGACAGCAGCTGAATCTCCATCTACAGCTACTGCATTCTCCGGATTTGACACAAATGTCTCTGTAACGGACGCAGAATCTCCTACTGCAGAATCATCACAGAGAAAACCATCTGGCACTGAATCTTCCTGTGTCTGTGAAGTGCTAGCAGAATCTTTATCCACTGCTAAAACATCATCAATATCAGACACAGTAGGAAACAAATCCTGAATTTGTTGTTTCATATCTCCCATCGCTAGAGGAAACAAGTCCTCATGAAAAATAACATGTCTAGATATAAGAACATCATGTGTCTCAATATCTAGCAATTTATATCCTTTAACACCTGTGGGATATCCCAAAAAGATGCAGGCTCTTGCTCTGGGAGCAAACTTATTTCTCTGTTGTGTTGAAGTAGAAGCATAAGCCAAGCATCCAAAAGTCTTCAATCCATCATATTCTGGTGGTTTCTGCATTAAGATTTCAAAAGGAGACTTACTATCCAGAGTTTCTGTAGGTAGTCTATTTATGAGAAACACTGCAGTCATGATGCATTCACTCCAGTACTCAATGGGAATATGAGACTGAAACATAAGAGCTCTTGCAACATTAAGAAGATGCTGGTGCTTTCTCTCCACAACATAGTTTTGCTGAGGAGTCTCTGGACAAGAATGGTATGACATGATTCCCTTCTCCTTAAAAAACTTTGTAAAGTTGAATTCAGGAGCATTATCTGAACGCACTGCCTTGATCTTTGTATCAAACTGAGTTTCAATCATTGCAACAAAACCAGGGAACACTGAGATTGCCTCTGACTTATTTCTGAGCAAATAAACCCATGTAGCCCTAGAATGATCATCCACAATAGTCAGAAAATACTTAAAACCATCATGTGAAGTGATTGCAAAAGGACCCCATGTGTCAATATGAATCAAATCAAAAGCTTTATTCGTCTTATTATTCCGAGCTACAAACGGTAAATGCTTCTGCTTAGATAAATGACAAACTTTGCAATGATTCTGGTCTGAAATATCTTTAGGAAACACAACAGATAATGAACTTGAAAGAGATTTAAGTTTCTGAGAGGAGGGATGACCCAATCTTTGATGCCAGATATGAGCTTCATTCTTGACTGTAACACAAACTGTTGGAGTAGGTTGTTCTGAAGGCTGAAACTGTAAATCCAAGAAGTAGAGCTTGTTATGGAGATTACGTCTTCCAATCATCAATCCCTTTGTAAGATCCTGAATTTCACAACCAGCATAAGCAAACCACAAACCACATTTAATCACATTTAATGAGATCTAGCCATGTTACTGGTGTTCTGAGGCTGCAACTTTGAATTGAAATAAAATACCAAGTGCTGAAGCTGTCCTGGACTGAGAGTCTGTTCAATTTCTGACACTGATTCAGTGAGAGCAAGATTTGCTGAAGCATTAGGAGTATAGAACTTCTGAGTGAGGTTTTGACGTTGATTCTTAGGTTTCCATCCAAGAGGATAACCGTGAATCTTATAGCAAACATCCACAGAGTGACCATTCAAACCACAATGTGAGCAGCTAACTCGAGATTTCAAAGATCCTTTAGGCTGAAAAACATTCACCTGAGCTTTCACCTGGAACGCAGAAGGATTAGAACCACTGACACTTCTTTTTCTCTAAGATTCATCAGATTCCAGCATGTTATACATATCAGAGAGACTAGGACGAGGTTTGATGTTGAGGATCTGTCCTCTGATATTAGCAAAATCATCATTCAATCCCATGAGAAACTGAGTAATGCGTGTAGTCTCATGATCATCCAAGAGTTTTAAGACCTGAGAGCAACGACATCCACCATTTTCCATAAGATTCTTAGTACATGCTAGACGTTCCCAGAGAGTAATCTTCTTAGTATAGTATTCAGAGAGAGTCAAATCGCCTTGACGCAATGAATTGATCTCTTGTTCCAGATTATAGATCTGAGGAAGATTACTTTTATGAAATCGCCTGTGTAAATCATCCCAAATTCCAGCAGCATCATGAAAATAAAGAATGCTATCATAGATCTATTTTGAAACCACATTTAGAATCCAAGCCTTCACCATACTATTGCAACGAATCCATATTTTGTAAATCGGATCAGATTCAAGAGGTCGTGGAAGAGATCCATCGACGAAACTGATCATGTTCTTAGCTTCTAGACTAGATTTCATAGTAATAATCCACGAGTTGTAATTCTCACCAGTAAGAGTCTCGGTTACAATCGACATACCAGGATGATCACCAGAGTGTAAGTAGAACAGATTGTGATGGCTATCGATCGAATCGGAATCTGGTGGAAGACGAGTCACGGAGGTGTGAGCTGGAGCTGATCGTTGAACGATCGGAGTATCGACATCTGAATCCTAACTAACCGAACGATTCCTGAGCTGCTTGGTCCCTTTCTTCGCCATTGATACGATGATCGACGATGAGAAAGATGGACACGACAAGCTGAAGTGAAATCTTCAAGAGAATCCAGAAAATTTTCTCGGAAAATTTTGTTTTCCCGGAAAAGTTACGCTTGTAACAAACTTTTGAATGAGAGAGAAATTTAATGCTCTGATACCATATTAGAGTTTACTCAGACGAATAACTTTCTCATTAATATGAATGTTAGGCTGTACAATTGCTTATATACTACAGCTAAAGATCTATACAAAATATCTTAACGTCTCTGTTAGTAGCTCTGTTTAACAACTAACATTGTTATTGAACTCTGTTAATAAACAGCTCATTTTCTTGTTACTCAAGGTTCTTCATATAGTGTGATACAAGAAGACATTACAGTGTGGAATAGATTGAAGTCGGACAAGACGATGGCTTATGTCCCGCCATGAGCACTCTGAGATTCTCACACGAAGTAGGACAAGGAATATAAGTAAACAAGAAAGGGATCCTCGGAAGGCTAGAGCTGAAAGGGTCCATTTTTCTCCTAATTTGATGACTCGGGTCCTCTGCACCAACGTAAAGAGAGAGGCAACATAAGAGGAGGTTTGATGATAGCTTTCCGATTGATTCTAGACAAGTAAGAACAGAGCTGCAACGGTTCAAAGAAAGTTAGTCCCAAACTCTGTTGATAAGGAAGATGGAGATTCTCAATCTATCCCAAAGAACTATATCTCTCTTTAGCTAGGTCTCTCTCAAGACTGAGACAATGATTTTCGAGGTTAGAGCATATTGTTTGTTTGATTGATATATTTCCGAGAAGAGCCGAATACCACCTGGAAAGCATTATGAACGAAATGGGGGTGCTGTGTCTAGTCAAAGAGTTCCTCCTAGCACGACGTACAATCATGTGGTGATCCAGATTCCGTGCAGACAATAGCTGGACTAAGAAGTTGTCTATACAACTGTCGGACTTGAGGAAGTATGTTTGACTTTCTTTTGTCGCTCTACCCATCTCTTCTTCCATTTTCATTTAACTACATAGGTTCATTCTTTGGAATTTTTGTCTTAGTTTAATTTATTACAAATTATGTGACTGAATTTTTCAAATTGTTTTCTCTTCCAGCTGTAGCCTCCTTCAGAAGAGACAGTTCTTCCACTCTCATCGAGCTCAGGTGATCTATTTTTTTTAGCTCTCTTGCTGACGAAGATTGCAATTGATTGCTGATGATGTGTCTCTAGAACAACGAAGTTGATGATGACGTGGCCGATTTTGAAGATAGAAGGGTATGTTTTAGAGTTTAACATTTTCATCGCTTTAGGTTTACTTTTATTCAACTCAGATAGTCAGATGTGCTGGATAAAGCTCAGTAGTTTGGTAGATATATGCTTCGTGTGAAAGGGAAAGGAATATTGAAGACTCGGGCATAGGAGCAAAATTGTTATGATAGAGATATCAAAAGGAAATACACGAGCAAGCCTCATGGTCTGGTATGGAACAGTAGAACCAGATCTGCTTATATTATATAACACTGGTTAAAGGACAAAGTGTTTCTGTTTGTTCTCGGTTCTAACATAGTTTGTCTGGTTCTCCATTAGTTTACAGCGAATAAGTTTTCTCCTTTTAGTATTTGAAAATCTTTTTTCTTTCAGATGCTCGATGATTTCGTTGATGTGACCAAGGATGAGAAGCAGATGATGCACATGTGGAACTCGTTTGTGAGGAAGCAGCGGTATGTCTTATACCTTTTCAGTACATATGATGTCGAATCTTACAGTATACAAGTTTAGAGTCACATGTGTAATAATAGTTTGTTGCATGAGTTCCTCTGGTAAAAGCAAAGTGAACAAATCTGGTTGTATGTTTTCTGACTCATGCATGATAAGCATTTTGTTTTTGCTCCTTTCCTCCACAAGTCCTTGTTCTGCACCTCCTTCTTCTCAGGCCGTAGGTTGAGTGGAACGTGTATAGGATCTTCCGTTCTTTGAAGTCTTGGTTGTGGACTGGTTGAAAAAGGCATAAATTTTTCTTCTCACATTCCATGGGCATGTGAGGCATTCTCAAAATTACATGGACCCATCATTGTTCGAACACCGAGCTTGATTTGGTAAATTGAACTCCCATTTCCTCTATTGTTTTGCTAAGTGGTTTAGTTGATACAGGTGAGTTTTTGTGATGTAGGTGCTGGAGAGTGTTTATGGTGAAACTATGAAACCACGGCCGTCTTGATGCCCGGACCATGAACAACTGTAATATTATTCTCGAAAAGCTCCAAAATTCCATTAATTCAAGGGTTTCATTTTTTAACTACTTTGGTTGTTTAAAGAGGAAAGAGGAGCATATGTATGCATGAATTGAGAATTGTCCTCTTCTTTTAATATAAACTAGATGTTAACCCGCGGTACACCGCGGGCCTAAATATTATTTGAATTGTTTTTTAATTATTAATTTAAATATTTTATTTTACATATATGAATTTTTTTAAATTTAAATGTATATATTGATATAGAGAGTTGTATATATCTATAAATGGTAGAATTAGTCAATTTCAATTTCATTTTACTAAACATAGATTTATAAAAGTTTCAATACATCACTCACTTGTACTCAAATAATGCCATTTCCAGTTTTATAAAATTACACACATAAGATATTGTATTTGATTTCATTTGAATATAGTGAGTTTGGTAAAAATAAAATTTGTAGTATTTATGAACATATATTTAGTGCAAAGGAAATACTCCCTCTGTTCCAAATTATAGGATGTTTAAGCCTTTTTTTCTTGTTTCACAATATAAGATTTTCTCAGATTTTTATGCATAATTTATGTTTATTTAGTTTATTTATGACCTTATGAATTTTGCTGTCTTTTTTTCTATTGGTTAAATTTTTATAAATAAATAAACATTTATTACTTCTTAATTTTTGTGCTTTTAACAAAAACATCTTATAATTTGGAACAGATGGAGTATCTATACTATTAATTGGGAATCATTCTAACTTAAATAACCTCATAAAGTGTAAAAAATTACTAAAATTGCCATTGGAAAATTTGCAACCTACGATTACATTACAGATTTCGTCAAAGGGCATAATGGACAATTTGCAGACAATTACACGCGGATCTACATTCGGATCTTGGAGCCATGATTCGGATCCAATAAATTCAGCTTACTGGGCTTAGTCGACCTGGCCCAATAAATTCCTCTCGCTTTTAGTACTCACATCTGCATTAATTCAAATTACCACAATTAGATTCGTGCATAGCAAAATGTTTCCCTAACAAACAAACTTATATATTCTCCTCTTCACCGATATTTCCACAACAACTCAATCCCATATAATCAGATGATTAAAACTAAACTTATCTCTTTATATTTGATATCCTTGATTAGTTATTAGTTTTACCAAAAAATACAAACTCTATCTATTCATATCGGAATAAATTAAGCATATACCCTAACTATTCTTATTCCCAAATCTTCTCTTAGGTGATAATTCTCTAAATCCTAAGCAACCCTAAACGTCCTCCATCTATTATAAATATAGAAATTAAACAACATTATCAATACTCAATAACCTATCAAACCACCTCTATACCAAATCAAAAATGGCTCTTCCCATCACCGAACTTAATGCAGTGAAACCATTCAAAACTCAATGGAAGATCCAAGTGAAAATCGTCCATTCGTGGATTCAATACACCCAATATTCTGGGGAGACTCTCGAGATGGTTCTTGCTGATACAACTGTAAGTATCTTTTTAACAATAGTATAGATTTACTCTTTTAATGGTTATGTATTCATCTAATGTTAAATTCTCCTAATTTGCTAAATACAGGGTACCTTGATTCATGCAACTATCAAGAAACAGCAAGTCAACAAATTTCAAAGGCTCATCACAACTGGAGAGTGGAGAACTGTGGAAAATTTCACAGTTGCAAAATCTACTGGAAAGTACCGGCCAACCAGACTTCCATTCAAGATGACCCTCATGAATACGACTGCTATAAGTCGTATTCCTTCGATTTCTGAGGAGTTTTACTTTGATTTTGCTAACTTTCCAGACATTCTGAATGTTAATGGATTGAATGAAAACATCTTGATTGGTATTTTCCATTCCTCCTAATTCTGTATATAGTGTTTAAAGCAAAAAAATAGCAATCTAACACCATTTCATATATTTTACAGATGTTCTTGGTCAGGTCGTGAGTTTAGGTGAGATGACAACTCACGATGTCAACAACAAAGCCACCAAAAGATTTGAGTTTGAACTGCGTGATACAAAGTTTGTGATCTATTTACTCTATTATTTTTTTCAAACAACTGTCTATTTTTTAATACAAAATCTATCATTTATCTATTATAGTGATGAACGCTTGACATGTACTCTTTGGGGGAGGTTTGCTGAGAGAATGTGGGATGCATGTCAAAATGGAGGCAATGAAAGGGTCATTTGTTTGATTCGCCTTGCTAAAATTGGTTCATTCAAAGGTATATTGTTTTGGATTATTTACATTTGGATGCTTAATATGTTTATTACATTATTAGATATTACTAAAATATTGCAAATTCAATAGGCGAAAGATCTATTTCAAATGCCTTTGACATGTCTTTGTTGGAAATAAATCCAAACTATCCTGCTGTCCAAGATTTTGTGAACAAGTAAGTTTCTGAAAAAACTTAAAATATACCTAATATTTGCTTTACTAACGTATTTACTTATATTAATTCTCTTATCTTACATTGAACAGCTTGCCAGCAGACGTCCCTATACTTACTATTCAAGAAGTGATGCCTAAGGATACCAAAATCATTAAGAAGAAGGCATATTTTCAGACTTTTCCCAGGAAAACCATTTCTGAAGTTTTTGAAGCCACTGAAGTAAGTATTTTTCATAGATTTTGAAATCAAATCTATATATTTAAATATAAAGACTAATATGTTTCACTATGTGTCTAGGTTGGTAAGTGCAATGTTATTTGTACTATCTTGAAAGTGGACACAGACTATGCTTGGTATTTCTTTAGCTGTCTTAAGTGTAGCAAGACAGCGTATAAGATACCAAAAATTGAAAATGAGACTGTCAAAAAAGGGAAGAAGCCATTGTTTTGGTGTACAACATGTAAGGAAGATACTCCTAAGGTCTTACCAAGGTAACTACAATATTTATATTCTTTGGATACACGATATTTTATAAGAAACTTTCTAACTCCTTTATATTAAAATTTTGTGATATAGGTACATGTTAAACCTTGCAGTGATGGATAACACTGGAAATACTATGTGTAAGTTGTTTGACAAAACAGCAGCTGAGATCATCGGAGTGTCTGCAGAGGATCTTTTGGAAGGGAATTGGGATGAGGTAGTAGCATTTTACATTAAGTTATTATCAAAAGAAGTTTAAATTATAATTCCTAAATACTGATTTTACCATGCTTGACATAACAGATAAAGGATCCAACTAATTTGCCTGGACCTGTTAAAGATTTGGTTGGGAAGACTTTCCAGTTTGTGCTCAGTATTGGAAAGGAGAACATCAATGAAACAGATGACACATACAAGGTGTTCAACGTCTGGTTGGGTAATGATTTATACGATCTTGATAATGTTGAAGAATCCGAGAACCAGATTGATCAAGCTAATGATCTGTCTATTGATCAGGTAATTTAAACAATTGGTGCACCCAAACAAGTTCTATCAAATACTTATTCAACTATATCACTAAAGGGCAGGATCTTATTCAAAGATTAGTGAGTACCACCTATTGTTTTCTAATATCAAATAGTGTACTGGAAATTTTTTAGACTGTTGGCATCAAATCAGTTATTTTGATTCATGTTTGCTACTCCAGTTATTTTCATTTCAATAAAACCTTCCAGATTTAGAGTTTACTAACCTCTTGAAAGATCTTTCTCATACATGAATAAGGTCCACTTCCAAGCAATTTCCACCTTCAGTAATCCTGGAGGCAATACAAATTCAAATCATATAAATATATAAATCTATATATATATGAACAAGCCATCCATGAAATTCAATAAATACAATATACAAAATCACAGAAATAGTAAAGCCTTAGCTTATTTCTCAATCAAAACAAAATGCTTTTCTAAAGAAAATCACAACTTAATCAAATTCCAAAGTTTTGATTATTAAGAAATTACAAAAGCAACATAATATTTGGATACCATAATTTAATACCTACTGCCTATATATTTGTTAGAGGAAATATTACCTTATCACCTAAACATTAGGAAATTCGATATACTGAGTTATCAAAATGAAATCTTTTCTGTTATCTTAATCATAATCAATACTATTGATTCGATTTTGATCTAAGATTAACATTAGATTAATAAACTTTTGGCTATCGTCTACACAGAGATATCTTTGAAACTTTGATCACTTCATAGTTACATATATAATAATCTAAATCTTCAAAGGTTATTTTCAAAGGTTTTGCAGAATGAAAAGGAGAAAAAATGAGTGTGCTAATGAAAATAGCAATTCTATGCAGACAGATAACACAAAGCGTTCTAGGTCTCGCCACAATGATGAAAACAGAAACCCAAATATCAATCATGAAGGTCCTACCAGTAATGTTCAAGTAAAAGGAATTTTCAATCGATTGTTAGGAGGAATCAGTAACATACCAGGCAATGAAAATGAAGTCTCTGCTTCTACTGTTGTTGTTCCTTCTTCTTCTATAAAGAGAAGACATGAAATCGGTTAGTTTCTTGATTATTTTGTTTCAACTAAACAATATCATTCTATTATTAATCCATATAATTGTATAGGATATGAATCTACAGGTACTTCTACCAATTCTCTAAGATCAGCAAAGAAAAATGCAAGGACACAGATCAGACCTGCTCAAGTATTGCAGAATATTACAAACACAACAAATCCTGACAGTGAGGTTGTCCAAACACCTCTGAATCCAAAAAAGGTGCCAGAAAAGAATCCAAAAAAGGTGCCAGAAAAGAATCCAAAAAAGTTGAGTCCTCCATCTGTTAACAGCAAAAAAGGTATACATGCAATGTCAATAAAAGAAAAAGTTTGTAGTCATTTCAATATGAATACACTGAAATTCTATTGAAGAACACTGATGGAAATATTATTTGACTGTAGCTACTAAGGGTATTATACTTACAAATCCAAGAAACTCTTTGAGGTTTGCCAAGTCTTTGTCAAAAGAGAAACAAACAACAAAGAAGAGTTGTTTAGGAAGTAGTGAAGGACACTCTGATGGAGTCCTGCATTCAGAAGAAGAAGCCGAAATTAATATGACTGATCATCAAAATGACAGTAAGTGAAAATTCAGATGATATAAATCTAAACCAGCCAATCATTCACTAATCAATTTATTATTTATATAGGAGCTGCGGAGGAAAAACTTGAACAGGTTTACGATTGTAGTAGTGCATATGACACTGATTCTGAAGCATCAGTTGATTATGAATGCATAGAAGATATCCCAATTTAAGTCAAGCAAAGATACGAGTTTTTAACATTGTTAGATGAAAGTTTGACTAAAGCTTTTGTAGAAAAAAAAACTACAAACGTTTCTAGCAGAAAGAAACAACAAACAGGTACTATCTAATCGGATAAACTTTGAATCTTTTCTTAAAGTAGAAGTTTACATCAACTAAATTGTATCTCTGTTATTTTAGATTACCTAGATCATGGAGATCCTGTCTACTCATGTTCGTATTGTGGTACGGAGAACGAATTAACAGACAAAGGAAAGTTCGTAAACCAGTTTTTACACAATGTTGTTTGCAAGGATCGGTCAAACTGCCTTTCCTCCATAATCAGCCAGAATTGTTATTTGCTTTGCTAACAAATGATGATGACATGAGTAGACACTTTAGAGAGAACATCCGAGCCTATAACATGATTTTTTCATTTACTTCTCTTGGTGGTAAATGTGATAATTCTGTTACTTTGGGAAAGGGTCCTAATATGTTTCAGATACAAGGAGAGAATTACCACCAGATGGGAAGTTTGAAACCTGGAGAAGGTGAATTTGCTAAGTTTAGTCAGCTATATATAGTTGACACCGAGAATGAATTTGAAAATAGAGCCGGAGTTTTAAGGTACATTTTCTATCTCAAAACAAGCAATCACAGTATCCAGACTTCGTGTTTGGTCTATACATATAAGTGTCGTTGCTAACTTAAATTTCTATTTCAGCAAAGGAAAATCTGCTGGGAAATATAAGAAGAAGCCAGAGCTGAGAAAAGAAATAATTGAAGCCATAATCAAGCTGCTAAATGAAGTTAATCCATACGTTGATCATTTTAGACAAGCTCGTGATAGGTTTAATACAAATCCTGAAGAGAGCTTTCACATGAAAATTGTGAGTGACCGTGTGAAAGATGGAAGAACATATGCAGTGCCAACAGCTTCAGAGGTTGCAGCCCTTATTCCAGGTGATTTTCATATTGGTATGCCAAGTCGTGACATTATTATTGAAGAAAAATCTGGGTATTTACAACGAATCAGTGAAATAGAACCATGTTATCTTGCTCTACAATACCCTTTGTTATTTCCAAATGGTGAGGATGGTTATAGGCCATGTATTAAGAAAGGGAATAATCATGGTAAAAAGAAAAACAAGCCCGAAGGAACTGAGGAGAATAGTTGCATAAGCTTGCGTCAATGGTATGCGTATCGTATACAAGAGAGAAAGAATGAACCGACTATCCTTCTAAGGTCAAAACGGTTGTACCAGCAGTTCTTGGTTGATGCTTACACCACCATAGAAGCTAATAGGCTCAAATATATTAAGCTTAATCAGTCAAGTTTGAGAGCTTCTAACTATGATTCTGTTAAAGAGGCGGCAAATTCAGGAAAGACAGATATGAATGATGAAGGAAAAGCATTTTATTTACCAGCTACGTTTGTTGGTGGACCAAGATACATGAAGAACATGTACATGGATGCAATGTCTACATGCAATCATTATGGATTTCCAGATCTATTCATTACATTCACGTGCAATCCAAAATGGCCTGAGCTGGTAAGATTTTGTAGTGAGAGAAACTGTAATTCTGATGATAGGCCAGAGATCATAAGCAGAATGTTCAAAATGAAGCTGAATTCTCTTATGGATGATTTGACGAAAAAGCATATATTGGGGAAGACTGTTTCATGTAAGTGAATAATTTTGTTTTATGCGTTTATTGTCAATATTTGTATGGTCCGTTTTCTATAATATCTTACGTTGAGGTTGATCTAATTCTATTTGTCAATGTGGTTATTGCAGCAATGTATACAATTGAGTTCCAGAAAAGGGGTCTTCCTCATGCACATATTTTGATATGGATGCATCCAGATTCTAAATTTCCAAAGCCAGAAGACATAGATAAAATCATTTCTGCTGAAATTCCTGACAAGAATAAAGAACCGGAACTATATGAAGTTGTTAAAGATATGATGATTCACGGACCATGTGGCGTTGTCAACCAGTTTTCACCATGTATGATTGAAGGCAAATGTTCTAAGTTTTTTCCAAAGAAACTTAGAGATCATACTAAGGTAGATAAAGAAGGTTTCCCTTTGTACAGAAGAAGAAAGACAAAGCGTTTTGTGGAGAAGTGTGGATTTAAGTGTGACAATGGATACGTGATTCCTTACAACAAAAAGTTGTTGCTTCGCTACAGAGCTCATATTAATGTTGAGTGGTGTAACCAAACTGGCTCTATCAAGTACTTATTCAAGTATATAACTAAAGGGATGGATCGAGTTTCAGTAGTTGTTGAGCCTACTGTAAAGTCTACTAAGACTACAACCGAGAAAGAGAAGCCTAATAGTCAGAGTAGCGGAGAAACAAGTAAAAATGAGATACAAGACTTCTTCAATTGCAGGTATGAAAATGTTTTTTTCTACATTAGCTTTATCTATATCAGACTTCAAACTCTAACATTCTTTATGCTTTGAAAACAGATATGTATCAGCATGTGAAGCTGGATGGAGAATCTTGAAAAACCCTATACATTATCGGTCAACATCTGTTCAGAGATTATCGTTCCATCTACCAGGAAAACAACTACTATATTTTAAAGCTGATGATGAGGTAGAAACAGTTTTGGAACGATCAGAATTACAGAATTCGATGTTTCTTGCTTGGTTTGAATTGAATAAACGATGTCCTAAAGCCAAAGGTCTCACGTATACTCAGATTCCTCAATTTTACACGTGGGATGGTAAAACAAGACATTTCAATATGAGGAAGCGACCAGGGAAGACACTTGGAAGGATAAATTATGTCCCACTTATTTACGAAGAAGGTTATTATCTAAGAGTGCTTCTTAATACACAAACTGGACCGGAAAGTTTTGAAGATCTAAAAACAGTTAATGGTGTAGTGTACAAATCTTTTAAGGAGACATGTTATGCTTTGGGTTTGCTAGACGATGACCAGGAGTATATTGATACCATCAAAACAACCAGTTTCTGGGCTACTGGTAACTACTTGCGTTGTATGTTTGTTGTTATGCTCCAGTCTACCACTTTATCTCAACCAGAAGTAGTTTGGGAAAAAACATGGGAACATCTAACAGAAGATATCGAAAGAAACATGAGAGTGTACTTTAACAGACCAGGTAATTTTGCAGCTCTAAATCAATACCTATTATATATTCAAACAGTTGTTATTTTAAAAATGGTTACCAGCTAAGACATGATTATTATGCCTTTCTTATGACCGTGTTTATTTTTTTTTTTACATGCAGAATTAACACTTACGGACGAGCAAAAACAGATTTTGGCTTTAAAAGAAACCAACAGCATCTTAAGAAGCAATGGAACATCTCTAACAGCTTTCAAAACAATGCCTCAGTTACCTGATGATGAAATTGATGATAGTAACGTCTTGATACTTGACGAAAAAAACTATGATCGCAATGAACAAAAGGAAAAACTAGAAGAATCGTTGCAGAAAATGACGGATGAGCAGAAGAGTGTTTATAATGAGATCATCGATGCTGTTGATAATGACAAGGGAGGTGTCTTCTTTGTCTATGGCTTTGGTGGAACTGGGAAAACTTTTATATATAAGACACTCTCAGCTTCTCTAAGATCTAGAGGTTCAATTGTGCTAAATGTAGCTTCCAGTGGCATTGCTTCTTTACTCTTACCTGGTGGGAGAACAGCGCACTCTCGGTTTGGTATTCCAATAAATCCTGACGACTTCACTGTATGTAATATTGAGAAAGGTTCAAATCAGGCAGAATTAATAGAAGAAGCGTCTTTGATAATTTGGGATGAAGCTCCAATGATGAGTAAGCATTGTTTTGAATCTATGGATAGGAGTTTCTCTGACATTATTAAAGGAGGTGGAAACAAACCGTTTGGTGGCAAAGTAGTTGTTTTTGGTGGAGATTTCAGACAGGTACTACCTGTGATACATGGTGCTGGGAGGGCAGAAATTTGTATGGCTGCACTTAATGCTTCTTATCTTTGGAATCATTGCAAAGTTCTGAAGCTGACAAAAAATATGAGGCTACTTTCAAATGATTTGAGTCCAACTGAAGCCAAGGATCTAAAGGAATTTTCAGAGTGGATTCTTGCAGTTGGTGATGGTAAGATAGCACAGCCTAACGATGAAGAAGTGATGATAGAAATTCCCGACGAGTTTTTAATCACAGATGCTGACAATCCAATTGAGACAATAAGCAGGGAAGTTTATGGAGATCCTAAGTTATTGAAGGACAAAAACGATCCAGTTTTCTTTCAACAGAGGGCGATTTTATGTCCCACCAATGAAGATGTGGGTATGATCAATGATTATATGCTTGATCAATTGGAAGGTTAGTATCCACTACTGTTAATTTTTTTGAGCTTTTGGAAAAAAATATGTTGTTAAAGTCAATTTAAAATTATGTGTAGGTGAGGAACGATTATACCTAAGTTCTGATTCTGTAGATCCTTCAGATATTGGAGGTAAGAATAATCCAGTTATAACATCAGAGTTTTTGAACAGTCTAAAGGTATCTGGATTACCAAATCATGGTATAAGGTTGAAAGTTGGTTGTCCTGTGATGTTACTAAGAAACTTAGATCCAAGAGGAGGGTTAATGAATGGCACCAGGCTTCAAATAACACAAATGTCTGACAAAATTATTGAGGCTGTCATTATTACAGGTGATAGAGTTGGAGATAAAGTTCTCCTTCCCAGGATATTGATAACTCCATCAGACAGTAAACTTCCTTTTAAAATGCGAAGAAGACAACTTCCGATAGCAGTTGCTTTTGCAATGACTATTAATAAAAGTCAGGGGCAATCTTTGAATCATGTTGGCATCTATCTTCCCAGGCCATGCTTTTCACATGGCCAACTCTATGTAGCTATCTCAAGGGTAACTTCAAAGAAAGGACTGAAAATCCTAATAGTGGATAAAGAAGGAAAACCGCAGAAAGAAACGATGAATGTGGTGTTTAAGGAAGTTTTTCAGAATCTATAAGACTAAGCGTTGGAAGAGACATTTGTTCTAAGAGGTAAGAACCGATAAGAAATGATTCTGATATATCTCTGTTATACAATAATAATTACTGCTCTTTTTATGTCTGAACAGGTCAAACGAGATATGAAAACGTGTGTTTGGCAAGTAAAGGAATCA